GTATTTACTTATTAATTATTTTACTATTAGTAAGTATTTAGCTATTAGCTATTAGATTAATTAATTTAAAGCTATTAGTTTCTATTTTACTACCCCTTATATTAATATCTATAAAAGCTATAAAAAAGGCGCTTAATAGTAATAGTAGTAAAGTAAGGAGAAGTATAAATTTTACCTACTTATATAAATATTCTAGTGCGTTACCTAATTATAAAGCGCCTAGTAAAGTAATATTAGCGTACTTAATTACTTCCTCTATTTCTTTATTAGCTTCTTTACGTATTAAGAATTAATTACTAGCTATAATTAGCTTATTAATTTATTATTAGATTACTATAAGGTTAGCTTTATAAAGCTTATTAAGTAATCTATCTATTAATCTATTAAAGATTTATCTCTTATTAAATATTACGTTATATATAGTAAAGACTTTATTTTATACTAAATACTAGATATAATATAAATTACTAGATATATACCTAATAAGAAATCTAATCTATATATAAGTAGTAAGCTTTTACTAGTAGTTTTATAATAGTTATACGTCTGCTATTAGTATATACACTTAGTAGCTATAGGCTTATAGATATAAAAAATCTAGCTTTACTATTAGTAAAGGCTTAGTGTGCTTATTAAGTATAAAATATAAGTAAAATAATTAATATAGTAATTTCTACCCCTAAGCTACTAATAGTATTTAATTATAAAAGTATATAGCTATAGTTATAATTTTAGGCTATAAGACTTTAGGTAATTTTATATTAATCTATATATATTACGCCTTAAGTTTAATAATTATAGTAATTTACTTAGCGCTACTGTTTTAAGCCTAAGTATTTACTACTAATAGCTTAATAGAGATTTTATAATTAAAAAGCGTATCTATAAGTCGCTTAAGGCGTAGGATTTCTTAGTTAGCCTTAATAACTTTTAGCGTAATTAAATATTTAGTTTTTAGTATTATAAAGAAGCCCCTTATTATTAAGTTAATAGTATCTTAGTAGTAGCTATATAAGTAGAAATCCTATATAAGGCCTATTACCTAATTTAAGATTATTATTACTAAGTAGTATCTTATATAGCCTTATTTAAGATTATAAAAGTCTAGTACTAGGTAATTACCTAGCGCTATATTTATAATAGATTTATAAGGCTAGTAGTAAATCTACTGCCTTATTTTACTAAGACTATATAAATTATAGTCTTATATTATTATAGCGTTAACTTAGGTTAGACGTACTCTATATATAGTATTTATAATCCTTTATAGAGCCTTAGCACCTAGGTAGCTAAGATACTTATACTATATTATTATATTACTATAAAGCAGTTATTACTATATTAATATTATATATTTATTTCTTACTTATAGGGTTAGTAGTAAATTATTAGTAGAGTGTATAGTAAAAGCGCTTTTACTTTCTTAGCTATAATTATATTACTTATTATATTTAAGTACTTATTAGTTAGCTTATTCCTTAATATAGCCTATAAGGCTATAATCTATACGCCTTAAGTAATTATTACCTAGGCTTATATCTTACTATATACCTTACTAGTATAGCCTTATAAAAAAAATAAGTAATATAGTAAATACGCTATAATATATTACGTTATATATATAAAGCTTTATTAGTAAGCTATTAGCGCCCTTTAAAGTAATCTCTATAATACTATATCTTTTAATTATAACTTAAGTAGTACTAGCCTAAATATAGTTACTAATTAGGGCTACTACTAACGTAATAAACTATAATATATAGTTAAATATATAGTTAGTAGTGCCTAAATTAAGTAAGGCTAAATTATATAGCTTATAGCCTTATAAAGTAGTATAAAAAGCTACCTTTATGTAGTATTTACTATATAGTTAATATAACTTAGCCTTAATTCTTTATACTTATTTAGTAAGGTTAGGATTACTTATAATATACTTATTAATCTATTACTAATGTTATATATTTACTTACTAATTATTAGGCCTTTATAACTTATTTATAAAGTAATAAAGTTATAATAAATAAGGATTAAAGTATATAAGGCACTTTACTTTTTTACTTACACTTTATTAATAGTAATATCTCTTATTAGTTAATTTATTCTTCTTTACTATATCTTTACTATACGTTAGGTTATTATTATTATTACCTTTAGTTAGGCTAAATACACTATAGCCTACTTAGCTATAATATAGTAAGTTATTAGTAAGGGCTTTAACTCTCTCTAGCGCTATCTTATAGAGAGACTACTAGTTAAGATTGTTCTAGTTACTTATTATTTTACTAGTTACTATATATAAATCTAGCTAGGAGCTAAGTAAGCTGCTTTATAAAGCAGTAGTAAGGTTATTAAACTAGATTAATAGCCTTTAGTAGTTAGGTAAATTAACTTATATTAATTTACTATAAGCTACGTTCTATTTATTAAGCTATATAGTAAGATCTTTCTTAGTAGTTAAGGCCTTTTACTAGGCTTTTACTAACACTTTACTATATTTATTATAGGCGTACTTTATACACTTTTCTTTAGTTATTCCTACTACTACGCTAAGCTTATTAAGCTATTTAGCTAGTAATTTATTAGATTTATAATATCTTTCTTAAAAATCTATAGATATAGTAGATTTAACTATATTAGCTACGTCTTTAACGTCCTTTTACTAAGTAGTATACTTATATACTTCCTTATAATAGTAGCTTATTTAGCTATTTAAGTATATAAAATTATATAAGTTAAGATTATTTAGTGTTATTATATATTTAGTTTTATATATAAGCCTATTAGGTATAGTTATAATAGCCTTACTTCTTACTGTATATAGCTATATAGTTACTTACTAGGATATCTTAGTAATTACTATAGCTGTAGTAACCTTTTAGTAAGTAGTAAGCTTATCCTTAGTTAAGGCGTATAGATATTACGTTATAAGTAGCTTTATTAGTTTCTTTAGATATATCTTAAGGATTAATTAGTCTACTACTATAACCTTTAGGTTAATATATTCCTAGAGATTATAACGCTTTACCTTTACTTAGATAGCGTTAAGCTATATAAACTAATTACTATATAATTATAAGATAGTTACCTTATTATTATAGTTCTTATTAATTATTATAATAGTATTTAATTAGTAGATAAGTATATTAGTTATTATAGACGTACGTATTAGACTATTAATTATTAAATAGTAGGGATTATAATAGTTACTTAATTAATTATATAATATGTTATATATATCTAGTTAAGATCCTATAGGAGCAAGGAAATCCCCCTATTTTTTAGTTAGGAAATCCTAGAGAAATCCTAGCTATATAATTAGTAGATTCACCCTAAAAGTGGGGCCCTTTCACCGCCTATTCCCTAACAATTCGCTATAGGGCAACCGTGCATTTGCCGGTTAATTCACGTGTAATTCCGCCACATTTAACAAAATCCTCCTCTTAAGGCTATAGGCAAAGGCTGGATAAAGGTGAGGGGCCCAGGAGGTCACGTGACCTCCCAGCACACAGGCCCCCTCACAACACGTTCAGTGTCGGAGACATTCTCAGATTGGTCGGAAAGCCAGATGCACAGACCAGATCAAGGCGGTACCCACATAACAGAGCAAAAGGAACAACCCTGGGGCGCACCACCAACTCACAAGCGTGCCTAAGCTAAGATGAGTAGTAAGTGAGTAGGTAGTAAGTGCATAAGGATAAAAATAATCGAGTCAAAGTTTTACCAGCGCTTGCAAGCCAAAGAAAGTGTTGGTTACTTTTGGCCGGAAAACGCAAAAAGGTTGCTCCCGGCGAGGATCGAACTCGCGACCTTCGCATTTCTCACATTGATGATGTAATTATAAGAACAACGTCATAACCAGCTAGACCACGGGAGCTGTTGTAGAAATTGGAAAATTTGTCTAATATCAAGCTCGACCATCATGTCTGCGGATCACTCGCCGCATGCCAAGCGACGATGGACCGGTCGACACAGCAAATGGAACACGAAGGGCTGATGCCTGGCGGCGTGCCTGTTGGTGGCCGTCGCTCTCTTTCAAGACGAGACCTCTCCCGGAGCGGTGTTATGCTGCCGAGGCACAAACAGCCTTCCACACGGCCGTCCCGGCCGGTCCGGTCGTCGATGGCCAGGTGTAAAAGCATAAAGATCGGCATCTAGTCCGGCGCATATTCACTTGACGGGAACATTTCCTACGGGAAGTCTTGTTCAAAAGAAAAGGCGGTAGATAGAAGATCTCCATGTTCAAAGTGCTGTGGCCGGTAGCCAGGACGCACTATTCTGCGTCCTCGAGGACACCGGCATATGCCTGAGCTCCGGAGCTGCCCTAGTTGGGGCTTCGATTATGGGCGTCAACGTAACAGGATGATCTTGCATCATGCTTATCGATTTTGTTCAGAACGTCGGCTTCAAACTATCATTTGGATAGTCCCGCACACCATCCTCGGGTACAACTCGTCCGCACGCGTTGTATGACAACCAACATGCAACTTCCTCTCACGAGGAAGCCCGTCATCTGCGGTTATTGAACGCAACATCCCAAAGCCAGAAGAAGCAATAGCTTATAAGTGTTCTGGATAGCATTCTTCTGATCATGATAGATTCATTGAAACCCTTTTGGCGCAAGACCTCGCATGTTAGAGGCGCAGCATAGCGTGTCACTCCCGGAAGCTCTCGGGGAACGCATTGCTTGGGCTGTTCAAGTCAGCTCACATCTCCGTCAGCATGTTCACATATGGCGGTGTTCCTTGGTCAGACCAATAGGAGACACAGACGCAACAAGAAACAGGAGAAAAATGCATCTACGTCTCTTGTCACACGAGCACGAGAATGGTCTGACAAGGGTTGTCTCGCATGGACGTTGAGCTGATCTCATGAGTGAAATTTAATCCGAAAAGCCAGCAAAACATCATGGTCTTTTGCACGCGTTGCTATGCGCCAGCTATTGTTGATGGCAGACCATACCTGAAGAAAACAGTGGTTTGGATTTGAGACTCCTATCGCAGCTATAGGCCTTCCGTCTTGATCTTTTCTGCCTCATCATACCTCCCTTGAGAATGATATATTGCAGCAAGTTTATCCTTGGCCTTAACTGTGTCAGGGTGTGTTTCCCCAAAATTTTCTTGCCATAGCACCAGCACTTCTAAAGCAATCTTCTCTGCCTTATCATACCTCCCTTGATCATGATATGTTGAAGCAAGGTCATCCATAACCAGTAGTGTTTGAGGGTATGTTTTCCCAAAATTCTCTTGCTGTAGCACTAGAAGTTCTGAAAAAGTTTTCTCTGCCTCATCATACTTCCTTTGAATACTATATGTAATTGCAAGTCCATGCATAGCCATGAGTGTTTGAGGGTGTGTTTCCCCAAAATCCTCTTGATGTAGCACTAGAACTTTTGAAAAAGTCTTCTCTGCCTCATCATGCCTCCCTTGAGCAAGATATGTAGCTGCAAGTTTAGCCATGCTCCAGAGACTTTCAACATGAGTGTGCCCTGGAGTCTGCTGTTCCAGCTCTTGTACTTCTGTCTTGAGCTTTTCTAGCTCACCATACCTCCCTTGAGCATAATATGTAATTGCAAGATCACGCCTGCTCTTGATAGTTTCGACATGAGTACGCCCTAGAGTCTCCTGTCGCAGTTCTAGTACTTTTTTCTGAATCTTTTCTGCCTTACCATACCTCCCTTGAGCATGATATGTAAGTGCAAGTTCAGCCATGCTCTCAATAGTTTCAACATGAGTATACCCTAGAGTCTCCTGTCGCAGCTCTTGTACTTCTGTCTTGAGCTTTTCTGCCTCAGCGTACCTCCCCTGGGTATGGTATGTAAGTGCAAGGTTAGCCCTACTCCAGATGCAACCAGGATCCCTCTCTCCGAGAAATCTCTGCCTCAATGAGAACACCTTCCTAGCTACTGGCTCCATTTCGTTCCACCGTCCACGATCGAACAGGTAGCCAGACACATGAACCAGAAGATTTGCGATCTCTTCATCTGTGCCCGCTTTGCATGCTTCGGCCCACTCACTGGTTTGCGATGCATGAGGAAGCCACATCTCGCTTTCCTTCCATGTTTCCTTCGATCTCGGGGGGAAGAGGTCTGACACAAGAAGCAGTGCGGCCTTGGAATACTGCGCTGCTTCCTGCCGTCGTGCTTTCTGGCTCAAGCTGTACCGTGCCGCATCTTGAACAAGCTTGTGCATATCGTATGTTCGCCCAACGGATTGGTCTTTCCGCTCGGATAAGAATGAAAATTCTCTCAGCCGAGCCACGGCAGTTGAAACAGCTTCGTCGTCGTCGTCATCCGACTCACCCTCGCTCGTTGTGGGTGAGGTTGTACTGCTCAAGCCGCCATCGTCGTTTGGTTCGTCCTCGCTCTCCGTAGATGAGTTGGCGATTTTGGAAATTTGCAAGTCTTCAACGATGTCTCGGCGCGCTGCTTCCCTGATAAGACTGTCTGGGATATTTTGATTGTGAACATAGGCAAGAGTGAGGAGGATCCGGTATGCCATATCGTCCTCCTGCCTTATATGTTCCATCGAGATGGTCCACGTTTCCAGGATGCTGTTTGGAATATCACGCCGACGGTGTCGGTCGTGTTCCGAATTCTTCAGAACTCTCCACCTTTTCTTCCCTTCTTTGAGCCTGGACAAGTACTTCGCCACCGGCGTGGGCCTTCGGCGGATGTACGCAGCGGCTTGTGAGACGGCGAGGGGGAGGTGATCCAACTGAACTAGTAACTCAGAAACAGCGTTCTTCTCGTTAACAGTAGCGGTATCGTTTCTCGTTACACCGAATAGCGCCGTGGCCTCATCGACGGTCATACGGCCAACTGCCACTCCCCGTCGGGCACCTACAAGACTACCCACGATCTGTTGGTCGCGGCTCGTCCAGAGCACGGTGCCGACGGGGGCCCGGGGAATATAGTCGTCCAAGCACATCTCATCAGCCGTGGCTTGTGTGGTAGCCGGTCTCTTTCCAACGCCAAAGATGCTGAGATCATCTGCGTTGTCAATGATGAGCAGCCAGCGGGGTTGCGCCTCTATCCATTCGCGTACAGCCCTCAGCAGCCCCTTGCCTTGGACTGTCCCGGCGAGTCCAGCTTTGCTCGCAATCTTTTCATAGTCTTGTGCAAACGTCGTTGCGTTGTCTGCGTGGACCCAGTAAACGGAGCAGCCTGTTTCGCGGGATCGGCGGTAAGCGAATTCGAGGGCTATCTGTGTTTTTCTACGACAATTAGTGCTCCGTGTGTCCAAGAAGAAGCGACTATTACCTACCCAGAGCCCCCAAGACCCCAAAGAGCGGCGCTCTGGTAATCAGCGACGGGCGGGAGGAGACCGTCGAGTTTCGTGAAGAGATCGGGGCGGTCGACAATGTCGCTGTTCTGCTCAAAGGGGACGACAAAGAGGGTCGGCGTGATTGTTGCTGTCGCTGATGGGCCTAGAAACATGAGTTCGTCTCCGAGTGGCGGGGTAATGCCATGCTTACGACTATCAGTGACCGTCACGTTGAGCGTCCCGCCGGTTTCAACCCGGGCGCCAGGGAACGCGATATGTCCAGTTGTCGATCCGAATGATTGCCCTTCCATAGTGGCATATTCAATGGAGTAGGTGGCACTCTGAAGGTCTGGTTGCAACGTCGGAAATCAGTCTTGTTGGTTGTAAGATGGACATCGGCCGTAAGACTACGAAGGAATCAGGCTGGCTTGGCCTGCAGGCAGCACGTGTTTACTCCATCGGCTATCCAATCCCATACCCTGTCGTTATTCTCATCAAATCAGAAGCCACCAGCATGACTATTTGTCCAAATCGATCTGGGGGATGAACGCCATATATTGTTGCCGCGGGCAGTTACCACCACATCAGGAGTCCGAGGTGATGATTCCCACACGTTTTGACATGGCAGATGCTGTCAGTGAAACCGATTCGTTAGCAGTACGATCTTGACTGCAAACCAACTAATACTTAATGATGGAAAACTACCACTGCTTCGATGGATTTGGAACATCTGCTCAAACGAATTCGTATTAGTCTCAAAAGGAGACGAAGAGAGACGTATAGCGTGTCTTTCATAAGTTGGTGCCCCGAGTCTAAGGGATGCCACTCGCATTTATGGGCCTCTGACTAATCGATAAACGCTGAATAGATGTAATTCAACCCCAAAGCGGTTTCCCGGGTTTTGAACTTGGTGAGGACGACAATGAGCAATAGGGAATCGAAAGCCAGCCTGAAAACCATCCACCAACGCCTTGCCTGTGAAGCTCGAGTATCTTGCTTGCTTACGTCACGTTATTCTGCACTCAGCCACCCACACTGCCGTCCCCCAGACTACCCCTCCTTGGACAGCCTGTATTCGCTATCCTGCCCGGCAAACGAGAACCGCCATCCGAGCTGCGGATATGGAGAGTGTTCCGGGTCCCCGTACGTCGGAAGCTCGACCGGCCCCGCTCTGGAACCGGAGACAGGCGCTAGAACGGGTGGCGACGTGGCCTGGTTGTTCGGGGCCTCGACAATGGAGCTTGGAGCTATGGAGGATATGCGAGAGTCGCTGCGTCTCGTTTAGTCAAGACTTCAAACATATGTAAGCTGTGCGAGCGAAAACTTACAAGTATGTCTGCATGCCTTCCGTGGGATGCGAAAACCCTCTCAGCCGAGGGCTCGTCATTTCGGAGACTCCTGCGGTGTCGCGGTACGGGCCGCCGCTGAACGAGGTGTAGTGGCTGCCTCTCCAGTCCGGAAAAGTAGGGGTCTTTGAACGTGCGGGCTCGTTGATTTCAGCGACGGGCGGCTCCGGTATGTCCGGCTGCGGAGGATTAGAAGGTGCTTCTTGCCTGTTCGAGGCTCGTCGATAGGCGCGGTCGATCGCGCTCTGCCGGCCGCACATGTACACCAGAAAGCCGCCGAGGAGCAGGAAGGCCAAGGAGCCGATCGCGACGCCGACGATTTGGCCGCCGCTCAGGCCCGGGTGGTAGGTGATGGCGGAGCTGTTGCCGTTGGCGCTGCCGGAGCTGCTGGTCGGGTTGGGGCCATCTGATTCTATCGGGAAAGGCTCGCCGGGGATGATTTGCGTTGTCAAAGTGAGTGCCGCCTCAAGCTGTTTGGCCAGTGTCTGGGTCGAATTCTGACTCCCTTAGTGTCCCGTCATGATCTCGGGGTGCGAAATGGCGACTTACTTCGTTGATTACCCCAATCATCTTCTCCTTATAACACGACCCAGGGGCACCGCAGTAAAAGAAAATCGGATTGGTGTCGTTGACAAGCACCCTGAACCGTGGCATCTGTAAATTGTCAGCCGAGCAGTTACGGTACTCCCGCTACTTGACTCACATCGTTCGTAATGGCCTTGACCGATGTGTTGCCGCTGTAAAAGCCTTGGCGGCCAATATCCACATACTCGTACGGCGTACAGGGGAAACCGAACTCTGAGCGTATGACGGAGTGGCCGTCGGGATAGAATAGCCACTCGATGGTATCGCCAACGTTGGCGTCGACCTTTGAAGGTGTAAATGAAAACCCGGACTATTTCAAGGTAAGCTCGTGCCAGATATGTCGATGACAGAACAACTTACTACACCAACAGCAATGGTGTGTGTCTCCGCTGCCGTGGCCGAGGCATTACCCATTGAGGTTGCGGTTGCTTCTGACCTAACATTAAGTGTCGTAGTTGAGCCACCATTAGGCGTCGTCGTCGTCGTCGTCGTCGTGAGGAATGGTGTCGGTGTCACCGGCGACTGGGCTTTCACCAAGATCGCCAGGGCGGCGACCCCATATACCGATGATCTTACCATCCCGAACAAGCTCTGCAGATTAGTTGGACCACCAGTCATTACAGATCATGAACAACAGTTGGTAAAAGAGCGAGGGAGGGGGCAGCAGGAGGAGTCGTAGGTCTTCCGCAGCAGGGGATCATAACAATACTTATTGGCAATAGCTTCCTACTCTACATATCGGTCCGAGCATAAGCACGGGACTTGAATGTAACTCGGACCTGAGGGCTGAGGCCATGTTGGTGCAGCGCCTTGCGCTACCGTTTGGAGAGACGCATGCAAAAGCAGTTTACTAGGCACTCGACACCAGTGTCTGGATTGTTCAACCGCTAGCTCTTTGGCAGGCCGTCGCGAGAAACATCATCCCGGGCCAGCATGTAGGCGTGATCCTCGAGACGGGGATGGGGCTTAGCAGATGGCTTTATAGCAGTGTGACGAGCAAGGCGAGTCCTGGCAGTCGATGAAGGAACCCCTTCGCTGATCGAGGACTGGCCTGGAAAACAAAGACCGGTGACTGTACGCCTGCTATGATACTGATGATTATGGAGAGCCGTTGGCATAATGGTCAACTTGACGTGATAATTCTATTGAGGACACTTGACCAAGATAGAAGACCGCAGCGAGCCTGCAGCAGGGTAGCCTCAGTTACCAGATCGTTGGGTCGTAATTATACGTTCATCTTAGTCCGCTGTGAAAGGAAGTAGAGGACGAGATGGGATGACTTCTATAGGAAGTGTAGGGGGGCCTTGGCATCCAACCGCTTTTGTTACCATCGTGCTTCGGGAGGTTCTGGACCCGTGGACGACAAACAATGTTTGGTAGCGCACACCCTAAAAGGCGCACGGCTGAGGAAGCGGAAGGTATCCGCGGGTACGTATGAACCCTGAATAGATGAGTATGTATGTTGCCATGAGTCCGGCCCGGCGGCCTGTGGGGCAACGCCAATCCGCCAGACATACCCGAGACTCATCTCAGCATGATTGTAGATCATAGAAAGCCCTCGCTTGATATCATATCAACCTAATTGAGCATTGCTTATAATGAGACGAAGCGTTGAAGCTGCGATGGCCTCAGTATACACAGCCCTGCAAAACGGCTTCGCCGTCGGGGTTGACAGAGCAAACATCCAGCTTGAAAGGAGAAAAGAGTGGCGCCCCAATTGGGGTGGGCTGAGGCCGGACATACCTATGCAGGCGCCAGAGCGTTATGGTAGTTTTAGTGCCGCACCAAGGCTGAGCACCAGACCACGTGTGGTAAGGCCTAGCTGAGACAACATGCAGGCTGGAGGTGGCGATGGTACTCCCTCAGACACCGACGTCGACTCTAATATGGGTATCTTTGCGACGGGCCGAGGCCGGATGGCAATGTCGAGCATTGGTGCACAGCAATCAAGTTCAACACGGCGGAACAACATCTTCAACGATGTCATCGAGAAGATCAGACGGGTGCAGCTACGTGTGAACAAAGGCCATGTTTTGGAGTGCTAGACATTGAAAACGCAGTACCGGATACGCGTAACCTGAGGTAGGTAGGGAACGCACCTCTTTCAGTGAAGCGCCGCCAATGCGAGCGATCAGGCCTGGTTAGTCTTGAACCCCGAGCTAGGCTCTCTGAAGCTTGAGCCACCTTTGGGAGATATTTCTGGAGCGGACCCCTTAACAAAAGGCGTCAGGCAAGCTCGTGTATCCCATTGAGTGTCAGGTGACCTCACATATCCTCTGACCAATAAGAGTACCACAATACAGGCTAACTGTCCAATAGCTATCAGTAATTACTTGTATAGACCCACTTTTGGGTTATGTGAGGTCACTTGGCACTCAATGGGATAGGCTTCTGAATGTGATGAGGGTGGGATGTAAAACAGCAAAGCTCTTAGCTATTGAGCTACGATATTCTCGTTCTTGCACAGACCATGTTCAAACGTCTGGTAGCTGACGGGGTTCCGATACTTTCGGGGACATAATATAAACATAAGGAGCTAAGAAGTCAGCGGCTATGAATCTGAGCGAGCGATCCTTCAAGCGCCGCATGCGAAACATATATGAGGAGCCCCAAATAGATGCTGCTACTGCGGCGAACACGTGCACACAGAGATCTAAGGGGAATGGCATCAATAACTACTCCTTGAAAACCGCCAATCGACGAACACAAGACAGGAGGAGGTAATACACTCATGGTTCATCTGTTCAATCGCGATAAGCTGCAATAGCCTCGCCCTCGGCTGACTAAAGAAACATGGTTCCCCTTAGCGTGGTTCGGAGTACCTCAAGCGGGGCCCTGGAGTTTGGACAATCCGCTCTCCACAGAGCTATTGGCCAATCACGCCGTGGTTTCAGAGCTTGACCTCTCCCGGGAAAAAAAGTTCCAGCCTCGCGCCAGTGGAAAGCACGACTGCGCCTTTGCCTCACGCGGCAATCTTCATCTCCATTGTCAACCACCCTCTCCAGTCTTGACTACCCATCATCCAAGATTAGCCTTATTACGCCACAAGCATTCGCAATCATGAACGGCGACGGCTATTCTCGTGGTAAGTATATTCAAACCACAAAACGCAACCAGTTTGCCCCTGTCTCTAACATCTGCCTCCCGGGAAGAAGGACGAGGAAAGGGATCTCGCGACTACCCGGTAAGCCTTGCCCACCGCTGCTTGCGACCGATGTGGCCGCTAATTGATGAGACAGAGGGATCGAGATGATAGACGCGGTGATCGAGACAGACACCGAGACCGAAGACGCTCCCGTTCGCCCTACGACCGAAGCTCCAGACGTCGCGAGGACGAGGACAGCTATGCGACCAGCCGCAGTCATCGCGAGCGCGAGCGAGAGGATCGATACTCTGGGCGCGATAGACGTGGAGGTGACCGAGAATGGGATCGCGACCGTGCATCCACCAGACGCGATGCTAGAAGAGATGACGATGACCGTCCTCGGAGAGACCGCGACCCGTATGACGACAGACGCCGGGGCGGCGGACGAGACAGGAACGAGGATCCCGGCTTTGGCCGGCGCGAACGCCAGCGGAGCGCGACGCCCCCTCCAAAGAAGAGGGAACCCACGCCTGATCTGACCGACGTCACGTCAGTCCTGGAGCGCAAGCGACGTTTGACTCAGTGGGACATCAAACCCCCTGGTTATGAGAATGTCACTGCTGAACAAGCCAAGCTGTCAGGCATGTTCCCTCTGCCCGGTGCTCCCCGCCAGCAGCCTATGGATCCGAGCAAGCTCCAGGCCATCATGAACCAGCCCGGTGGTCAAGTCAACAGCGCTGCGCTGAAGCCTAGCAACTCGCGTCAGGCCAAGCGACTGCTCATTAACAACCTCCCTCCTTCCGCGACCGAGGAAGGCATCCAGAACTTCTTCAACTTGCAGCTGAACGGGCTGAACATCATCGAGAGCACCGATCCCTGCACCAGCTGTCAGGTTTCCAAGGACCACTCGTTCGCCGTTGTCGAGTTTAGAAACGCATCCGAAGCCACCGTGGCGCTGGCCCTCGACGGAATCTCAATGGAAGCTGAAGATGCCACAAACGGAGCAGCAGCCGACCAGGGTCTGGTCATCCGCCGGCCAAAGGACTACATCGTCCCGGCTGTGGTCGACGATGTCCCTTACGAGCCAGGCGTCGTGTCCAATGTCGTCGTCGATACGCACAACAAGATTAGCGTTGCCAACATGCCCGTCTACCTCTCCGAGGAGCAGGTTTCAGAGCTTCTCGTGTCCTTTGGCGAACTCAAGGCGTTTGTGCTTGTTCGTGACAAGAGTACTGAAGAGTCTCGGGTAAGATATTGCATTCTGGGTTACCACGGCTCACACTAACCCACTACACAGGGCATTGCGTTTTGCGAGTATGTTGATCCCGCGGCCACCGACGTTGCCATCCAGGGCCTCAACGGTATGGACCTCGGCGACAAGAGGCTCAAGGTTCAGAAGGCCAGCGTGGGCGTTACACAAGTAGCCGGAGTAGAGATGGGCGTTGCCGCCATGTCTATGCTGGCGGGAACGACTTCAACAGACTCTGAGGAGACCCGTGTTTTGCAGCTTCTCAACATGGTGACACCTGAGGAACTGATGGACAATGACGATTATGAAGGTAAGAGAACGGCGCTCCCTGCTCGAAACGCGGCATATGCTGACACCTCCCAGAAATCAAGGAAGACGTCCAAGAAGAGTGCGCCAAGTTTGGTACCGTTCTCGATGTCAAGATTCCTCGGCCAGTCGGAGGAAGCAGGCAGTCTGCTGGTGTGGGCAAGATCTTTGTCAAGTTTGAAACGAAGGAGGCGGCAAAGAAAGCGCTTCAAGCGCTTGCAGGACGCAAGTTTGCCGACAGAACCGTTGTCACAACCTATTTCCCAGAGGTAATTGCCCTTGCTTATCCGTCTCGGGCATCAGCTCACTAATCATCTTACAGGAGAACTTCGAGGTCGGTGCTTGGTAATTGCTTTCGGCGGATAGCGGGGGGGACAGAAGAAGCCATAAACAGGCATCTATCGTAAAGGCAGGGCTCGGCGGAAAAGAAATCTCGGGCTAGTCATCTGCTGACTGCCTTGTAACCAACCAAAATGCTGTATCATAATTCCGTGGCGAGACGAGCTAGGCATGGGGTTTTCTTTCAGTCGCTCGAATTAGATCTACTTGCGGGTGCATTCTGCAGCCAGCGTGATGGTCACGAATGAAAGCGATGCAACTTCATATGACGCATTTCACCCGCTTCAAGCTGTGGCTGCAGCCTATGCTTCACTGTCGTGGATGAATCGACAGGTTCCCTTTACTTGGAGTGACTAAACGAAGATTGCCTTTCCAGAAAAAGAGGAATTCATGGCATGCGCCAATGTAAAGAGTCAAAGTCAAACTGCATAGTACGAACGAAGATTGGCTTGTGAGTAATGATATCGATTTGCTATTTGCCGTCCTTTCAACCCGCATCACCCACTAGTGACTTCTGCCCAATAGAACCCAAATTCAGCATCACTTGACGCGTGATTCCATGACCGTTCGTCATCTAGGTAGAAGTGTGACCTTCGAAATACTGTTAGCTTCTCGTCTGACAGACCGCGGCGAACGTATAGTGTTGATGAAGGTGCAAGTGTCAGAAGTCCGTTTCATTCATTAAGCCTGAAGACTTTAAAATAAGAGGTACCAGAAAAAGTATAATGTGGAGGATCATCATTTGATGCGAGGGGAAGTATAGTGTAGACGAGAATAGCTTACCTGAGAGAGCTGGCGCAAACAACCGCAGCGACACAAAAGCCATTGCAAAGAAATGAAGTTGAGGGAGCAAAGAGAAAATCTTGGAGCTGGCGAAGCTTGAGGTAAGCAAAAGCGACGCACGGACCAGAGAGGAGGCTTCCATGCAAGACCCACAAATCCACCCCGATGGGTGTTCTCCCGCCCGAAATTTTTCTCGACCAATCTCTGGCCAGACAAGGAGAGAGAGCGAACAAGGCACCAACCAGTCCAGTGCTGAGGTGCCCTAATTAAGCGAGGATTCACCGGCCTCGCACAATCCACCCGCACCGCCCGAACGGAGCGCCTCGCAACATATCGCTTTTCCGATCGTGAACTTTTTTTCCCTTCCCTTCTTCCAAACCCGACCAGCGACCGACCGACTGACCCCCCTCGTCTCCAGCCGACAACAACCACCAACACCGTCAAAATGGGCCGTCTTCACTCCAAGGGAAAGGGTATCTCCGCCTCGGCGATCCCCTACTCGCGCAACCCCCCCTCGTGGCTCAAGACCACCCCCGAGCAGGTCGTTGACCAGATCTGCAAGCTGGCCAAGAAGGGTGCTACCCCTTCCCAGATCGGTGTCATCCTCCGTGACTCCCACGGCGTTGCCCAGGTCCGCGTTGTCACCGGTAAGTTCAATGAGAGAAGAATTCCAGTAATTGGCAGAGAGGTTTTTTTTTTAATGGAAGAATTTGCGACTAATGTTGTTCCCGCTCCAGGCAACCGTATCCTCCGCATCCTCAAGTCCAGCGGTACGATCCCAGTTCACTGAACAAACGACGCGGCGACATTCATTGTCGAGAATACGCAATTCGTCCGCGAGGAGAAATCCTCTTTACCGCATTTAATGCGCCTCTGCTTGGTCTAGGCTGACAGAGAGATGATGAACAGGCCTTGCCCCCGATATCCCTGAGGACCTGTACATGCTCATCAAGAAGGTACGTTCTGCCGCCACCTGGATCACAAGCCGTTTGGAACCCTACAAGAGGAGGACGGAAATACTGACCACGAGATACAGGCCGTTGCCGTCCGTAAGCACCTCGAGCGCAACCGCAAGGACAAGGACTCCAAGTTCCGCCTCATTCTCATCGAGTCCCGTATCCACCGCCTCGCCCGCTACTACAAGACCGTCGGTGTCCTCCCCCCCACCTGGAGATACGAGTCCGCCACCGCCTCCACCATTGTCTCCTAAGCGCGCTCTCTTCGCTACTGCGAATGGAACGGTCGTCGCATTGACGCGGTGGATTCTAGGTCATGGAGTTGGGGTATTAGGAAAGTGCATTTAGAGCTCCGATGCCAGCTCTCTAGGGCCCGATGGCCGCATGGTTCAGCCGTGGAGTAGGAGGAATGAAAACACCAAAAGTTTTTTTTCTTCCCATGTCACTTGAAAGAAGTAGACAAATGATTCCAAAACAAAGAAGAGGAAATTCCTTCCACGGCAACACAAGCATTTGTCTTTGTGCATTTTTTTATGATGAATCAAAAGTTATGAAGAACCGTGGTATCAATTCGTCTTGTATGATCCTAAAGCGCAGCAGTCCTTGGGAAAAACCTGCTAAGACTTTTCTACCTCCTGGAACGCCAAGCTTAAAAGCCACTGAAATGCGAAAAGTCCACCCGTCCAACATCTATGCATGCCAATCAAGCTCGGCTCTCGCGTTCCTCCTGATGCGTGTATGACAGAACAAACCCATGCCTGTGGGTTGTTCAGCCAGAAGGCTCGTTTCGCTTACGAGATTCCTCGAGGAGGAACTCGCCCAGGACCTTGAGAGGGTTCTTGGGCCTAGAGAAACATAACGTTAGCCTCAAGCGCTTTCGGGGTCCTGTCCATAGCCGTAGCACATACTGGTTCTTTCCTATGATCTTCATTCCCTCCAGGAGAACAGCGGTCACGGTGCTGTTTATGTACATCCGAGCAGGGTCGCCGTGCTCGACCGCCTGGTTGGGGATATTTGTAGGGTGGGCGTCGGGGTGTACAGAGCCAGCGCGGGAGCTGGCCTCGCCGTTAAGGTTGCGGCTGGGGGTGCCCGTTCGGCCGGGAGCAGGGCTGGGAGCGCTCGGAGCTGCTTGCGGGATCAGGGCGGGAGACTGAGGATCGTGTCAGCGCAACTGTTGCGGGAACGGGGTGAGTCGCAGACGGTCTTACAGATGACGGCTCAACGGCATCAGTCATGGCGACGTCGCGACTGACGGCATCGGCCGATATGGTCGCGGGCGCGAGCGGCATTGTGGGTTCTGATGTTGTCGGCGCTGCGGTCTCCTGCGGGGATGGTTCTGTTGTTGATGTTGGGTCAGACATTGTGGAGGAAGGGAAAAAAGAAAAATCGCTAATAAATGGTCGATATATGCAATTATATGGCTAGCTTAGACAACCTTGTCGCTGGTTAAATAGGTGCAGCGGGCAAGTTGTCTAGGCAAGAGCTTGATTGCGACCCGTTGGAAATCAGCAATGCTTGCTGGCTGTGGGTTTTGCGCCAGGATGGCACGGCAGACAAAGGCTAAGCTTTGAGCGGAAACGTGATATGCGCTCACAGGGAACAAGTTTGAAGGATCTGTTAACAGTCAATGCAACAAGGAGGCTTCTTCGGGGTTGGCAATGAAGCATGGATCTCAATGTCTAGCAATTGATTGCAACAGTGAACCCGGACTATGATGGTTCCTGCCCTCCATAGGTGGTTGGAAGCCGGCCAGCATTGAAAATCATTTACGCGAGGTCACCTGACGTCGTGTTGTTTGGTGCGCTTTCCCTTCTGCGGCTGCCTGTACTCTTCGCGTCTCCATCGCTGACGCCACCAAGGCGAAAGTCACTACTCTGACGTCTCGACTGCCGCGCACTAGTACAAGGAGCCATCTCTTTACGATGTCGGACTTTTCTGACCTCAACGATGGACGCTTTTGTACAGCGGCTGCCGCGCCCGAGGCCGCAGACCCCCTCGAGATCTCCTACGAGGCCATCGCCCCTTGGTGAAAGGGCTGCCAAGAAAGTCAAGGTGGAGATCCAGGATAGCGACTGTGACGATGATGAACATGATGTCAAATCCGCCGACGAGGATGCTGATACCTCTGGACTTACTGTCAACGAAGTTTCTGATGAGGACGACAAAGATGATCGCCGTGTCCGACAGACCGACATCGAGAGTACTCTGCCGCCTATTGAAGCAGATAAGGATGCAATTGAGGAGTACGAATTGATGAAGAGTTCCCAGGCCAGCGACCCTAGTGATGAAAAACCGGCCACAGCGAACCGCCAATGGATCCGAGGGAAAAGGGGAATTCGATGATGAGCGTGGGCTTGAATGGCAATGCTGCGCAAGTACCGTTGTCACCTGTTTGATGCCAAGGAACATCACGTTTTCGAGCAGTGGAAGAGCCTCAACTACGAGGCCCAGTATCTGTGGGTGAGGCTCAAAGCTCTCTGCCTTTTCTGGCTAATGCTTTCGCTAGTTACGTACGACTGTTCCTACGTAAGACATCGGCTTGGCACCGTCAAAACCGACTTGGCTATTATAGTGATATTTCGGACCCGGACGCGGCCATCGAGTCACTCCAAAAAGTGAGAGATCTTCCAGAAACTGAGATCGCAAAGGAGAGCAACCCGGTCGAGGGTGTTGAGCTGGAAGAGTTCAGCTTAGGCGACACATTTACCTTTGCCGATGCTTCTGAAGAACACATCACCACCATTGAGGAAGCTTCTTCATTGCTAAGTCTGGACGAGCTAAAAGACCTTGCTAGAGAGGCCAAATTCCAGGGTCGAAACAAGGCCGACCTGGTAAGAGCGCTTTGCCGAACAGGCTATCAGCAGACCGGTCTTTTTGCGCATGGGCTTCAGAGATCTGACAGCGGCGAATCCCAGGCGGCTCGAGGCTTGACGAGAGATCGCCATGATACGCCCGCACAGCTGAGCCGACAAGACTCAAATCAGACACAACATTTTCTGCAAAAGATCAGAGACATCACTGGACCATGCATCAGGCTTTCGCCGCTGACATATAAACTCTTCGAGAGGGTGCATCTAGTCTTCTATCGCTCCACCGAGTGGACTGAAAAGTCCCTCACGGCAATCATTCTCGCCAGTATTGCACGGCGCAACTACCCCGAGTATATCGTTTGCCGAAGCTCAAATATCTTCGCTACTCGCAGACATGTGCTCGAGTTCGAATCAGCAATCCGAATGGAAGCCGAGGTTGATCAGGTTCTGGAGTTCAATGGGCCACCGGGCGAAGCAGGGTTTCGCAAAATCGTGGACATCTTTGATCGAGTATACCCTCGATGGAAAGCCCTTTTGGCTGAAGAGGAGGAAAAGGAAAAGCGAGTGTATGAGGAGGGCGAGGGCGCTTACCTGAGAAGATTCACGCCTGTCCACTCATATACCCGTATCGTTCACAAAGCTGCATCTGTGTTTGGGCGGTTGAAGGATCACAAGCGCGAGCATCAAATCCTCGCCGAGCTTCTGGATCAGCATCTGTTCCACCCAGCACGACGAGGCAGTTGGTACCAGCGCAAGGCCCTGCTCGAGGAGCATTACATGCAGGCACTCGACAGCAACGCTGTGGCTGCGGATCCGGAGATTCAGAAGAAGCACTGGAAGCGAATCGCCGCGACCACATGCGAAACTGGCCTTGAAGATAAAGACTGCCATCTGATATACCACTATGATTTGCAGAAGCGTCTCATCAAGCTCGAGAAGCAACTGCGTATACCTCGTCGTCTACAGCATGATTTCGGGCACGTTCGTCTTCAGAAGCCCATAGAACACACGATAGAGGGCATTCAATTGAAGAAATATGACCGACAAGGCAAAACCGGTCGTCAAGCAAGCACGAAAACAATTTGGGTTGATAAGTTACAAGACGGCGGCGAATGCAGTGTTGAGGAGATGTGCCTCAGCTGGTATCGTAGCCAGGGGTTCAAGGGCTACCACGCTGAGGGAGGCATCGTCCGCACTTTATTCGCTTACCTATTTTACGACATTCTGTTTCTTTACATTCCGAATGTATTTCAGACGGCATATCAGACATGCCCGCTGGACCTTCACACTGACTCGTTCTACCCAACTCGCATGTCTGAAATCAACCATCGGCTGGTCGAAATTGCAAATGGGGAGGCAGAAAGAATCATCCGCGAGGTTGATGCCCGAGAACGCGAACGGCGGACCTGCGTCATCGGTCTCAACTGGGATTACGACGTCGAGGATCTTGTCGAGCTTGTCGGGTGCTTCAACGGCGGCGCACTAGCCGCCCTCTGTAAGGTGATGGCGCAAGAATACCGGCAGCGGGGCGGAGGCTTGCCGGACCTGATACTCTGGCGAACAGAGCCGGAAAAGGAATGTATGTTCGCCGAGGTCAAAAGTGCCAATGATCGGCTCAGCGACACGCAGAGATTATGGATCCATGTCCTTACGGGCGCAGGCGTGAGGGTGGTACTTTGCAACGCCGTGGCCAAGGAAGTCAGGGCAGTCGACTGAGGGCTCGTATCAATTGAGCAGTGAGAGTCTCTCTTGCTCGCCCCCATGACGACCATATCGGACGGGATATTGCCTGGTATTACGAGAAGCGGAGATTGCTAAGTTGGTGCTTGCAACGACGGGAAGGCCATTGCAGTAGCGAGATCAATGTCCCGAGACCCATGAATGAACGGCTTACGCCAGCAACGCTTTGAAGCTACGGTTACCTTGATGTTGGACATCCTCGCAGTGTCCGGTGCTAACATACCTGGTTCAGGAGAGCTTATCTTACGAGCGGATAGCCGAAATACGACCTTTAGTGTTACCAAAAATAGGAAGCGATCTCCGTTTACTTTTATTTCCATGGAAGCCTGCCCGTGGAAGAACGAAAGAAGATTTCGAAACAGCGGAGCTGCCCTCGGAAGCTGCCCCTACGCTCTGTCTATATCACCGGTCAACGAAACACAGCCTGGCAGCCGCTCTAGATGACCACATCTTGTTCATGATTGGCAGTCTCGAAACCTAGTTTCAATCTAACCATTTGACGGACCATCGGAGTCCTTGGCTTTGGTTTCAGGGAAGCCAGGGTTTAGAAACCGAGGCGCGGGGGATGCTAAATCTGGCATCAAGATTTGGAGACATCCAGTCACAAGCGGCACTGGGAGCTACAGGGTCCTGTTTTGGGTCGGAGATTTTCGAATACCATGCAGCCAATTGCGCGGGGCCAATCATAGATGAAATTGCGGCAAGAGGTCAAAGGAAATTGACTGGAAGCTCCTGTTGTGCTGAGCGGCGGAATCAGGACGGGGATATGACCTCATCCAACGTTCGCCGACGACGGGAGACACACGTCTGCCCAGAACCACGGTGGCATTGTTGCGAGAGGAGCAACATCAGTGCAACATCTTTGGGGAGGGATTTTGTTATGCCCATGGTTGGTCCGGCGGTTTGGTTACTGCGTGCGTGGGTTACTGGGGCCCAGACATGCGTTCTACATAGCAACTAATATCCGGAAGGAGAATGCCGTCTAAAAGCCCATTTGATGGTTCCCTCGAACCTCTTCACCGCTAGATGAGAGGAGCCGACAGCCACCAACCGACTTGGACGCATCGTTGTTGCTAGCAGGACAACCAGAACGAAGAAGGGCCGGCATCATGCTTCCCCCAGGCTCTCAGACCTGCCCTATCTCATGCCATCACATCTCTCGCCTCTCTGCTAGGAACGCATCCTAGCTCATCCGCCAGAACAGAAACCAAACGACATGCATCAGGGCTCTCCGAGTGACTCGACTTGATTCCTGCAACGGGTGACTCTGCACCAAGGGTTGAAAAACACAGTTACAACGCTTCGCCTGGCCCTGCGCACCATAATCCCCACACCAGCACGCCGGCGCTTAACGGTTTGACCAATCCAGAGCCTCTATGCCGGCCGTTGGTGATGGTCCTGACGGCAACCGGGACACCGCGGCACCCCTGCTCCCGACCTCGGGCCAATCAGGTCCCGGGGGCCGCTGAGGACAGGCGCTTAGCAAAGGGAGTTGACTGGGGGGTGGCTCTTTTACGGCTTCGCTCCGTACGCGACCACCCACCCACCCCCCATGCAGCGCCCGGGATTCCGGGTCGTGCCATGCCCGGATCCGGCATAGCGCTCCAGGCCGCTTTTGCCAGCCATTCCGTTCGACTCTTCCCCTCCTCTCTCTTACTGGACTTTCGCGCCTGCTGGGTACCTTTCCCTGCTGCATCGACACGCTCTCGATTGTTGACTGTGTCCCATCACGGCACCGGAAAGCGGAGTGTCTTCGATCTCAATCGCGAAACGACGGGGCGTCGGGTTCTGGGAGACGCAGTATTAACAACGCGCGTGCGTGCTCGTTCGCGCCGTGAAGGGGTGTGTGTGTACGCAATCCGTGATGTACCCCAATCGATCCCAGCCCCGGTCCCGCAAAGGTGATGGAAAAGACCAAGCGGGCCACGAAGGAGGAAGGAAGAGTTTGGAGCGGAAACATGGGACGTGGGTTCCGTCGTTTCTACATTTTAGTCGTCACGCAGAGCACCCATCGTGAGTGCAACGCCAGCACGCTGCAACAGCTAGTAGCGCGGAGGAGGAACCACGGCGCCAGGCTCTATAGTGGTCGCTCTCGGGGCTTGGGGGGGCACAATGTGCATCACCCCCGGACAATCCCTGCTACTCATCCAGTCACACGCGGCTTCTGGTTGCTCTCTAGCCCTCATCAAGCCCCCCCTCCTCTACCCCCTCCAGTTCGACTGCACCGCAAAGCCAGTTTTTTTCCGCAGCCATTCATAGATCGACCATTATTGCATAGGTGCCTCATGGCGTCCCTGCTTGGTGGATAGATATGATGGTGGGAGGGGGGGGGGGGGATATGAAGGGAGGGGAGGGGAGGGCAACGGGATGGTATGCCAACTCAACCTTTATCCTTTACAGCGGGAATCGAGGCGGACGAGGAGTAGCTGAGAAGTCGGTCTGGTGTCTATGCACTTGATACTTTTGCCCTGCCCTCCGTCGACCCTCCCCCCCCCCTTTCCTCAGCTATCGCATCGATGCCGGGCTACCTGACATGTCGTTGAGCGTCCCTTGTAGGCTGTTTTTCACGACTCTCTGCGTAAGAAAAAGTCGCCCGCGACCTAGCCATCTCTATGCAGAGATGCCGAAAGCGGGAAGCAAAACCCATTTTTCTTTTCTTCTTAGGGGAAATATCCTTCTTTTCCGTTCATTCGTTCACGCCGTTGCTTGGCAGTCGTCTGTCTATCTATCCCCACCGTCTCTGCCTGCTTCCCGGTGGACTCCGTCTGCGACCGACTATCGTGACCTTTTTCTTTTCCTCTCTTTCTCACCCCCTCCCCTCGTTCTCCATTTCCATTCTAGCGGGGCCACAACAAAGCCCGTGGCGCAGGCCGCATCAACGGCCGCGCTGCACGAGAGTGCTGTCTGTGAAACAATAAACAAATAAACATGCCCACACCTTCCCAGGGTTCTTGCGGTGAGGTCAATTATGTCTTCCGAGACTCGTTTTCCGGATATACACAGTATGCTGATATTAGGCTACCTTGGCTTGCTGTGTACTAGGTAGTTAACTGGTTGATATTGCTCTTTGGTCAAGCTCATCCATCTCTCCCCTCCACAGTCTCCGAAACAGAACGTATTCCGACCTCCCCGGATCAATAATCAAGTCGGTCCACCCAAATGGTTCCTGGTATCGAACATGAGCATCGTAGAGACGCCAAAGAACTCCGGTAGGTCCCCCCTCCCAATCGGGGGACTAGTAGATGGGTTGAAACAAAAATCCAAGTCGCTTTCCTCCTTTCTTCGCAAGATGTCCCGTCCCGTTGAACCAATCGCATATTCCGCCCTTTGTGTTCGCCTTACATCCCATGGTGTGCGCCGATGGCGTGTGCTTGTTTGCTTTGCATAAAGTCATGTAGTTGTAAAATGTCCCTCCGTAGAAGAGCCTGCTTCGTCACATATCATCCTTGTCTTTTTTGGGGCACTAGGCCTTTGGTCATCAGATGGTGTAGGGGGGCGGGGTGTCGATTTGAGGTGACGATCGTGATGGTAGAACAAAATAAAGATCAGCACATGTAAAGCCGATGGTGTGTTAGGTTGGTAGAGTCGAATAGATTGCTTTCGATGTAGAGATTCATTCCACCTTCCTCCTCTTGCCCTTTGGCGCGGGATTCATCCTCGGCGTATAAGTCACCGTTCGCGTGACAACCTCGCGAATGTGACGTACACTCGTCCTTGAAGGCTTCTTGGCGTCGTTCAATCTTTTGGCTCTGAGAGCTGCGTCCCAGTCGAACGCCGAATGAATGGATCTGGCGCTGAATGGCGACCGCGCGCTCATGGGTGAGTCCATGTGTGATACCGCTGGCGAGGGCGGGATCTTGAGGCTCGGGAAAGAGTTTGCACCGGTGGGAGGTGCTGACATTGGCAGTTGTGTGAACGGGCTTGGCGGGACAGGTGGTGCAGTGACCGGGGTCTTGTGTTCGTGTTCACACTTGCAAGAGACGTCTGTTTGCTCGCTGGTTGCAGTCGAGGGTAACGAGTCTGGCGTAGACTCGGGCGTGGTCGCACCAGATGCTGAAGGCTTGAAGCCAGCTGGGGAGTTGAGAGACATGTGCTTGAGGAAGTCCGTGTAGGCAGTAGGCGGGCTGATGGGCGTCTTGATGGGGAGGTCCTTGCAAGACATAGGCCTGGCTGATAATGGAGTCGAGGCAGAGAAGATGGTCTCCGAGGGAAAGGTACTGGTGACAGGCGTGGCCAGTTGGGCCAACTTGGGTCTGTTGGCAGGCATGATGAGTCGAGACGGAAGAGGCGAAAGAGAGGCAACGTGGTAGCGAATGTATGCAAGAAGGGGGAGTATATGTCCAGTCAACTAAATGACTCTGACTTGAGGAGAGGGGAAGTCAAGCTGCCTACAAGCTGCAGAGACAAATCGCCTGGGGAGAGAAGGGAGAGAAATAATAGACAGTTGTGAGGGTGGGAGGGCGTTATATTGTTTCGGAGAGAATGAGATGGGCGCTTGGGTGGTTGCAGTGTAAGTTGCCCGGGAAGAGGACTGCAGTGTGAGGTTAAGCTCTGACGGCGGCAAGGAAGATGGAAGGTTTAGGAAGCTGATGTGCTCCCGGAAGTTTGGTCTGGGGTTGCTGGGGGGGTTGAACAAGTGGGTAATAGCAAATTGGTGCTATTTGCCAGGACAAGTTTCGAGCTTGGGCGGGAAGACGAGCAGGCAGACTGGATGTGAGTCTGTACCAAGTCGGCAGGCTGGATGAGGGAGGGGCAGAGCAGGGAGGGGTGCAAAGGGGCGTGAGGTGACGAGATGTTGTAGAGGCGGGGGAGGGGTGGTTCAACCGGAACAACAGCGAAGGAGCAAAGCCTACACCATAAGGTTGCGGTAGCGCGAAGAGGATCCTGTAAGGTGAGGAGGAGTCGTGATGTGTCGGTGACAGCGGATACGGATGGTCCAACGAGATTGAAGCAGAGGCGCGCGGCGGGAGCGTCGAGGAGAGGGAGACACGAGCAACACCGCGAGCGTGGTGGTGGGGAGCAACAAAGGCTGGACGCGGAAGTCGAGAGATGGAACAGGGGTTCTCTAAAGCGGCAAGAAAGCAACAGGTGAAGGAGACTTGATTGGTTGTGCACGCTAAACAAGCGACGATTCGATTCGCTGTGTGGGCGCGTGTGGTGTGTGGTGTTCACTGCCTTAGTGCGTGCTGAGCCTGCTGCAGGAGACAGCGAAACAGAGACTGGACGGAGATGGGACGGGGCCTGACAGGGCAGACAAAAGCCAAAACGGACCAGGGGTCGAACAGTTGCTTGCTGCAGCTAATTTACCTCTGGTGTTGTTCCTTCGTGGGCAAATCGGCTCGTTGCACGCCAAAAGAAAGCGGGCAAATTTGGACGGTTGTGATTTACACAGCGGCTGGCTTTCTTGCCGAGCTTTACTGTGCTGTCCGATAATCCCGTTGGCTGTGATGGCACAGGTTCTTTCTATGCCCGTTCGCGGGTGTCCGGGGTAAGAAACCAATTGGACTGCGTCAACCAGAGGCAGCGGCTGGCGTTTGGTGTGTTGCTGGGATCACCGTTTGTCCCGATCCAATATCGTGGATGCCTCGTGGCCTCTCGCCCAGGATGTGGGATGGAACGCGAGTCTTGAACAGAGTTGATCCAAGGTAATCGGGCAGCAAGGCCAGCTAAGGCAGGATGAAGTAACAGGTGTACTATGTGTTGCAATGACGATGTTGTGTTCTTGTGCGGACGTTTCGTCAACTAGGATTGGATGGTCGGCGCAGGTATTCAGTACCAGTAAGTGGTAATCGCCCAGTGAAAGTCAAGTATTCCAAGCCCCAAGGTTACGAATACTCGCAGGGCCAAGTGGGTGTGATGTGCCGTGGAAGTGGAGAGCAATGCAGAGCCACCTCAGGCGGAAGGAGATTCGACCAAGACAGGACGCAACAGACAAGGCGACGGGGCAGTCAAGGCAACTCGATGGCGAAGCTACCTGGGCTGGCCAGAGTCAAGACGGCAGTGGTCCGGCTTAGAGAGGCCTCAATTGCTTGGTCTGAAGGTCGAATTGGAGTCGTGATTGGCTCCCGGAGAGGGTTGAGGTGAGGTGTCGTGCAGTTGCGGGCTGTCCGCCGCTGGGTCTGATGGGGCTGCTTATGGGCGCTAGGAAGGATGCACTGTAGCCAGTAAAGGGCAGAGGACGGGCAGTAGGATCACGAGAGAAGATGGGGCGCCGGGGCAGCCGTTCGGGCGGCGTTCCGCGATGATCTAACTATTATTAGTGCCGTCTTCCTGTGATTGGACGCTGGCCGACGGTGCTTTTCTCACCTGCAAATCCCTACGTCGTCCACCAGATCTTGCAGATGCCTTGTCTGCTGGGAAGATGTGACGAGAACCGGCCCCAGTTATGATTTGGTGGCAAGGCGGAACGGGGTTTCCGTTGGACGAGGTGACTTCCAGGACTGCGGTGATAAGACACAGAAGTTATGCCGGGGAGGCTAAGAGTGTCAATGGTCCGATGGCGTTGACAAAAGCTTGTCAGACACCCGATGAAAGAATCAGGTTATGATCGAAATGGAGCCGGAACGAGATGCCGAGGGGAGAATCAATTACAGCTGAACAGGGAAGGAAAGATGCGAGGGCGGGGATGGTGACGAAGGCGCGATGTAATGTAATTGCCTTGTTAGGGATCGAAGGAGAAAGGGGAGGAAAGCGCTGGGCTCTCGGCTTCCTGGCTGAAATTGAGCGACGAGAATAGAAGGAACTGATCACAAGTTGCTCTTTTTCTTCGTCATCTGTATCATCGCCGGATTTAACCACCATTTTATTCCATTCCCGTTCGCCTGCTTCCTTGTCATCATCCCCAAAGCTCCTCTATTTTCGGCCTCAACTTCGCATGCTTTGATTTTCTTCGTGCTTCATTCCGCGCGCGGCACCGCTCAGCGTCTCGAGTCTCGATTTTTTCGACACTTTCCGAGCAATATGAGCCTATCTTCTCCTGTCTAGTCAAGCGCTCTCCATCGCAGGCGGCCAGCGGTCCTGGATCCAGCCACCTGGCGCGGCAACAGTTGTCTGGCCAGATGCCAGAGCGCGCGCCATATGATGCACAGGAGCCATTAAGGCCGGCCGCCAGCGGCTCGGAGTTGCCTACCCATGCACGCAATATGCCCACCCTGCCCAGACCGGAATGCAAGACCGGCCAACTATCTGCCTTGCGCCGATACATGAATGCCCCGGCCCCGGCTCAAATGCGCGCGCCTCCAGCCTGCGCGCAGCTGGGTCGCGGCCCGGCCTCTTTTCCACTACCCTGTTCTAGGCGGAAAGAACATTTACTGGGCTTTGTTATTCCACGCCATCTAGCACACGAAGCATCTCTCTGCGTTTACTTCAGATGGTCTCACGGTCCAGAACTACCAGAACAGTGTAAGCGACATCCAGAACTTGTACCATTCGTCAGGCTTGAGGACTGGCCTCCTTTGCGCTTGTTTCATGCGCAACGGCGCCTGGGATGCCAGATCGAGCCCACCATAACCCAATATCGATGGGTTTCCCTATCAAGATAGGTATCACTTTAATACATGCTGCTGCTGCTGCTAATACTACTACTACGACTACTATTGAGATCCTTTTTGGCACGCTAGAGCTCGGAGTGACCATGTTCGGATGCGTCCGACTAAGTGGAAGCGAGATGGACTGCATACCAAGTTCCGGTTTCCATCCTATGTTGGAAGATGGCTCTTTCATATCCTTACGGTGTACTAACGTGCTCGGCACAAGAAGTTGGTCGCAGGCCGCCCTGGTGGAAGACCCAAGTTTGATCGTCTCAGCCAGATAACTTATTGAGGAATGCAAGCCACAACTGAGGCATGTCTAGCGGGGCTCCGGCGCTGTCCATGGTTGAGTCAGCTACAGCCGCCGGAGAAACGCTCGAAGAAGATTCTATCTTGATGTCGTGTCTGGGGGCACCTAATATTTGGCAAGCGCCTAATTCCAAATCGTGTCTTTCAATCTCGTTCACAAGGATACCTGACCGAACCCGCTCACCCTCCACGTTCAGATGCTCAATTTGTATACTGAAACAATGCTTTTTTTCTATATATAAAATAGTCGTTTGTAGAACCCAGAAAGGGGCGTGGAATTCAGAGAGTCCCTTACGTACGGTGCAGAAGTGCTTGAGCAGCTGCAGCGAAAAGCAATTATACGAGAGACTGTAGCCTCTTAGAGAAGAGCTCGCAGCCTTCTGTAACGCAGTAAAGCAGCAGGACGATGTCGCTTCCGCACAAGTCTCTTTTTCTTTTGTCTTATGAGAGAAAGAACATCCCCACGCCACCTTTCCTCGCATTCGCCAAGGAGCAAGAAGCAAGGGTAATCTCCATCATCGCATATCCCGACATCAAAATCTGCCCGTAGGTCACTCCCGCATATACGACCCGGCTCATCAAAAGTCTGCCTCGTTAGTCTCTGCTATCCCAAGCCCCATCTGGCGCCGTTTTATCCTGGACCTGCCGCCCACTGCCTGCTGCTGTCGCTGTCTTGATAAGCGCCGACCAAGCACCGACCAAGCACTCGTAGGATTCGTCGGTCAAGGGGACGGAATCCTTCGCGCCTATTTCTCATGCAGCCTCCTCTGGAAAAGTAGATGCAATTTGTCCAAGCCCGCGTCAGTCGTGCGCGCGGAGTAAACCGTTTTCTTCCAGAGCTCGACACTTGGAACAACGATGATGGACCTTGTCCTAGTCGGTTCCGCAGCCAAACAAATGTCATTGGCATCGGCCCCAAGGGCAGAGCGCTTCTCAGTGGCTTAACTTCAAGGTCCTGGCGTCGCGAGGGCTTGCGTGTGTCGTTGATGCGTCTGTGGCGCCATGCGAGGGTTCCTGTTGGCTTTGCGTGGACTGTGTGAGGTTGTGATATGAGATACTGTGAAGCCAATAGCCCGGCGACACAGATCCGGCACCTCTGGACGATGCTTCCTTCAGCGCATATTCCGAATACTCGCGCTTGAGATGCCATGTGGAGGACGGGTATGTAAAGGCCCCTCTGACCGATGGTCGGCACGCCCCCGGCGTGGCCGTCGTCATGTCTAGCTTTTCGCAGTCATTGTCGGTGCAGGAGCGGATTTACTCCTTCAGCAGGCAGATAGCGTGTTGATGGCAAAGAAACCGGCCATCCAACAAGACTCAGGGAGACCGAACGAACCCTCTCCATATGGAAAAATCTTGTGGTGGATAACTTGCCGATGATTTCTACCATGCAAAGTAGAGTTTACTTGGCGGTCAACCGACCAGTAAACAAAACAAGACTGTGTTAAGTAGGCTGCCATACCCAAATTAGAACCGCCGGGGCTTGTAATATGATTATTTAGTTTCAACATAGGATAAGGTTGAATACAAAAAGACTGAAACGACGTCTTTCATGTCGAATAGTAAGAACTGTTATCCAAAGAATGCCCCGGCGGTGGAACATGACAAAAAGATGGACATGTCATTGCATCGGGTATGCCCAACCAGACAGTGTTTTGATGATGTTTGCCTCAGATGGATTTATAGGATAGGTATGCTTGAAATTCACAGCTGTATTGTTTTGGATGTCATAGTTCTCCCGACTACACATTTTCTTTCTCAGTCCCTGGGTCATAAGTAAACTTTATTCAGTAGTATCTCGCTCTAATTAGACCTGTGTGATCGGCACCGCTCTGATATTGCCCCACAGAATAACAAGCATCACAATGCAAACAATGTAGTACTTCCAGTGAAGGCTGTTTAACGAAAATGTTGATGAAGATGGTGATGATAGTGGAACACCGCGTAACAGTGACCTCTGGAGTACCCTAGGCATTTGTCAATAAGCAGTAGGGACGGAAACATTGGATACCCGAAGACTTACAACAAAGCATGAACAGGGTGTTCGCACCGGATCGTTGCTTTGGGTGCGCAATCTCGTTGATGAGCAGAGGGGTCCAGTTGCTGAGCCAAGCGGTAGCGAAACCGATGAACAGACGGGAGTGTGTAGTCAAGGTCGCCTCGTTCCGGACTGCCGCCTGCATGATAGCGCGAGAACAAGAAGGAGGTAGCCGAGGTAGATTCCCAACCCGACGGCCAGGCGTTAACGGGGAAAGCGCTGTTACCGGATCAGTAGATGCACCATTGAAAAGGTGATGAAGACAAGTGGGAATGCTTGTAACATGGAAAGCTCTCACTAGGGAGGACAGCCGGGTCATCAACTGGTTCACTCATGACGCCGTTGGGTTAGTTAGGCCGGGTGCTTAGTCTGATAAGGAGAATTTGGCAAAAATCTCATTCCACCAGAAAGCTACTGGGTATTTTGATGCGGAGCTCTCTGGGCCCAATCGAGTCTCGTAACACCTTTGAGCATGATCATATTATAGAAACCGAGGGAAGGAGCAAGGGCCATATGCAATCTTCTAGACATAGAACACCAGTTTCAGGTTCAGCAGCAGGCCACAGACGACAAAATGGGAGACGTGGAGCAGCGATCCTAGAGTTTGTGGAGTCTAACATCGGTGAGTGATATATAATCGTTCTATGATGGTGATCCTCTCTGAAACTTCCCGAGGCTGATAGTAGCACTACGTTACGGTAAAAGCAGTATCTCGTAACTGACGTATACTTAATTCGTACTTGTCAGAGGAAGCATAAAAAGTCCCATCACCCACCAACTCCACAGCATGAAGGAAAAGCGGTCCGCCTTTGCCTCCCTGACGTACAGTATCCTAATCGTTACCAATATACCGGAGAAGAAGACAACAGCACAGATAAGGACCGACGAGTTCCAATACGCCGGACAGATGAAAGACCAGAAGAGTATACCCATGCAGACACTCACCCTCGTAAAACCATCCCCCAGTACTACAGGAAACGTATGTCTTTCGCGTGCCTTGTCCCCCTCATAGTCCTTCAGATCCTGAATTTGGATTGTTGTGCCCACAACCAAACCCAGTAAACTTAACCACGTATATGCGGCAGGGAGGATGTCGACTGCGCCTGCCGCTAACTTCAAGGCTGCAACTCCGTACACAGGATATGCCAGCCCATTGATGAATTGCCTGATCAGGAAGTGCTCGTCTGCGCCGCCCAGGTCGTTGTAGTAGGAGCTCGCACAAATGCAGGCCAGCGTCTCGTAACCCACATCGAGCTTGATCCCGAGTACCACCGTGAACGGGATAACCCCAAGAAGCAGGTGCTTAGCTTCTGCAGCAGATATTCGTCCCGAGGCAATCGGGCGCCAAGGCTTGTTCATCGAGTCCTCAAGGATACCGCTTGGATCGCGCTGATTAGCAATGGAAAGAACTAATATGTTCAGCCAGAGCCAAAGGAGGAGCCGAGGGAGATTTGAAAAGATGGTGAGGGCCGAGGCAGCAGTGGTGGTCAGCGGGTTGCCGATGATGGCAGTAAGGATGCCAAGAGCCAAGATTGGGACGAGCATCGTTCTGATGTCACTGTATGTAAACAGCCATAGGGTTTGTAAATGGTAGGAAAGCCCAGAGAGGGTGCTGTGAAGGTCTTGAACGTTTGGCTTTAGAGAAGGTAATCTGGTGGGGGTAATTATTGGCGCCATGGTAGCTGTTTGGTGTGTGACGCTTTCGATTGTTACTTCTTTCGTTTGCTTATAATATAAAGAAAGAAAGGGGCAGCAGACTTATATACTGCCGATAGAGTACTTCTAGGTGGTATCTTAGAGCTATTTATGAGTAAGTAACTGAGCTCTCAACCAGGAATTCTCGTGCTCGGCCGATTGAACTTTGATGTAGCTAAAGCTCAGTAAGGTCATTCGTAGTCAGGTCCGTACGGCGCAAGGATGCAAGCCACCGGTAGGACGCAAGCCACCAATAGCACGTAAGACGGAGCTGATTTCCGACACAGAATTAATTAGTCTAGCTTCAGATTGAAAATGCTAGTAGATAGATTCCAGCATCCTTGTAGCTAGCTAGCGCTATCGAGCTCTTTTACTATGACTGCAGGTTGCTAAGGCCTAGTCACTAGTATATTTGTATGGATTTAGCTTGAGCCTAGCTGGTCTTGCACGTAAACCTATGGTCCTGGCTAGGCCTCTTAGCTAGGTCTAGGATTAGCAGTTGCAACACCTGTGTGGCGCAGGGACGCAAGCAACTAGCGTGCAATGATGGAGCTGAGTTGCTCAAAGTGGTATCGACATCAGCTTTAAACCCACACTGATTCCTTTAATCACAGACTGGGACAATCGGGGTCTCCGAGTTTCCGTACAACACTGCAGGCATTGTAAGACAGCAACTTACAGGTGTAGTATTAATGTGACGAGTAACAGTAGCGAGTCACATTCATGAGGACAATTCACTGGTCGTAATTACGACGTAGAATGTTTGGTAAGTGGGTGAACAAATAGCAGCGGAAATTATTATTCTCTGAGGTCAAAGCTCCGTCGCGTCATCTATATGATCTAGAAATACTCGTCGACTACATTGACGGCTTTCTACCGCCCGTGTTATTGCGAGGTCATCGTGACAGCTTCAGCCTCACTTGTGTTATCGCGGTCTACCAGACAGCGGACGTCGTCTCCGAGACAATGAGCATCTTCTGGCCGTCGCATTTGACCAAATCACATGCATGGCTCGGGGAATACATTAATAATTGGAACTCACATCTGCTACTACGAGCGTGATCGAGCGCAACACCAAACAAACTACGGATGTAGATGCCGTGCCGTTGTTCCGCTGCGCCACGTATGAATTAGTACAGTACTTGGTCAGCGCTGGACCTCTTTGGCGAAGACGGTGCGCTGCATAGGTAGGCTGTAACACGCACCACCTGGATATCGGCACTTAAAGCCCTTGGTGACTGCCGACTCCAGCAACACGATGCTATCCAGAGCCTTAGGATATTCCGGATAGTATTATATGCTGGACAGCTCCAGAATCTGTGTTATAATTTCCGCACGTACCCGCTCGCCTTGTATCTGACCGTCAACGAGGCCTGCATGTCTACATCTACGCCGCTAGCCTTGACCACAAGGGCGTCCTAGCGGCTGGCATCCTCTCCAGAGTTGAGAGCTCGTTGTGCCCCGCGTTCCTGGGCTGCGAAGCCGCAGACATCGTGACGACCGTCGGCACCGCCGTCTGGAACGTCTGTGTCATGTCTTTTTCTTCTTCTTTTTTTCTCTTTTACGGCACAGGAAGTTTGCTTCTCTACCGCGGTCTACATCCCGAAATTCTTTTGCGCATGCAACCCGGAATACCTGTTGGCGTAGTGTGCTGCACGGCCCGGAAGCGGGGTGGGTTCGTTCTGGGACACCCTTTAGCACGTCACCAAGTCCGAAACAGACATCTCTACTCTTTGCTCAACTAACTACCTAAGAAGCTTCGCGGGAGGAAGCCAAACTTTGACGACGCGGCGACGTACTTAACCTCAATAACCATTTCCGAAACCAACACTACCTAGTTTTCAATCATCAATCCACAAGCGATTAGACATCACAAAATGCGCGTGGAGAAATTCCCCCTTTCGCCGCCGAGTCTAGAGGAGCTGGCAGAGCGACTCAGAGCGCCTCTCGCCGCCAACTACGAGCACGCATCCGTCAGTGTCGTCCGGTGCACCGACCTGCGAAAACCCCCCTTCCACTTGGCCGGCGAGGGCTTGTCGGGCGACGAGAAGATCGCGGACGTCGGCGGACAGCCCAACCTTTTCCCCCGCCCCCGGCTGGACACTATCTGGTCCATACCCGACCTCGGCAGGCACATGGAGATGAGCCCCGAGAAAGGCAGCCTCATCGGCGCCGGTGCCGGCCCATTCCACGTCATCGGGCAGAACACCGAGCTCGCGCCAAACCTCAGCTGGTCCGGCGGTATCGACAATGTCGACAATCAGAGCCGGGTCATCAAGATCGAGCGCGGCACCGAGGCCGTCCGTGTCGACACGAGCCCCTCGGTGGACTGCGGGCTGATGGTCAATCTGTACGGGTCCCTGGGCGAGCCGGGACCGGTGCTCAAGATTACGGCAAAAGGGCGAAAGGGGCCCGAGAAGAGCTTCACCGAGTGCATCCGCAAAGGCCTGCATGTGGCGTATGGCAACGACAGGACCATTAGCCTCGGCGGGGCTTTCGTGGTGAAAGCCGGAAAGGCGACGTATCACATTATGCCCGATTTCCCTCCAGAGGAGGATCTTCCTTTCAAAAACAGAAAGGAGGTTGAAAAATGGTTGACCTTTCACGACTTTGACTCGCCCATCGTAGGCTTGTCTGTACTGAATTCCGCGGATCCAGACAACAAGATGGGTTTGCGGATAGAGCACACGCATGCATTTTCCCCGTCAGGAAAGAATGCCGGGGGACATTACCATTACGAAGCTGAGGGAGAGGAAAAGACCATTGAGTATGAAGGCTACTTCAACACAGCAAAGACGATCTATCGGATAGATAGCCCTACCGCGTCAGGCTAGTAAGAGGTACCTCAGTACAAATTAATTGTCGCTTTGAACCATTTTAATTATATATCCTCATCTTGGGACTCGAATCTTCCTCAGGATTACCGAGATTTTGTCTCAATTCCTTTGACCACTGTCGAAGAGGCTTTTGGTCCTCTGAGAGCCACAAGCAACTCCTTGTATCATGTTCTCAAGGGCTCGTGAAGCTGGCTTACATCGAGCAGACCGTCGTCATCAACGTACCCCTCCATGTACGCTATCATCGCCATGGCAAAGGAACCCACCGGTCTACCAAAATCCCGGGCATAAATTTGTAGGTAGGCTTCCAAGAGAACGTGAGACTTGTGAACAACAACGGGTCTCTTTTTGTACTTGAAGACACCTGACCCACGCCCGGGTCGCTTGGGGGGCAGTAAATCCTGGTTGGAAGCAAGGGCAAAATAAGACAGCAGTTGAGATTGATCTGGGGACAGAAGGGAGTCGTCCAAGATTGGCAGAAACCACAGTGCTTCTGACCCGAAGCACCAATATGAATATGGAATGCGGGTGGTGGTTTCCATGTTCTTGGGAGCTTGAGGGGCAAGATTCTGGAGACGAGCATGGCTAGAGACCCGGTAGACCGGAGAAAGCAGCTGTGCCAGCTGAAAGCAAGTGATCTGGAATAACTAAATCTATTGACTTTGTTTAGTTAGTCTTGGAACTGACAATGGAACTGCTGTAGATGGACACACCCCCACGATCGAAGGCACACCGTGTAAATTGAGCAAATAGTGACCCCAAGAACACAAGGAGTCTTCGACGCATTGAGAGCCAATGCGAGTGAAGCCACTAGATGCTCAGAAAGGTCGCGCATGTTGTAGATATACTGTTGCCTTAATGTTTCGTCAAGTCTTAAAGTTCTTCGCGGAACTGATCAATGAGATTGTCTCAGGGACTGACTTACTGCTAGGTGTCAGAGGCAGGGATAGTATCAAGTAAAGGAGTCAACAATAGGTGTAGTTAGGGCTTAATTATAACAATTATTCTGATCTGCTTCCTCTAACCCCTAAGTCCTATAAAGTTTTCTCCTTTTTATGTTCTTTTAGTAACTAGTTTATCTAGTCCTAGCCTTACTCTAGTGCCCCCTTAGGGCCCTACTTTAGGCACCTAATATAATCTCTCCCCTCTAAGGTCCTACCTTTAAGACCTTAAGTAGGCTACTTACTAGTAGCCCCCTTATTAGCTACTTAGACTATTTAATAGCTAAGCCTTATACCTAACTTTTAATATCTTAAGACCTTAAGTAAGCTACTTATTAATAGCCTTAGCTACTTAGACTATTTAATAGTTAAGCTTTATACTTATTTTTTAGTATTTTAAGAGATATTTAAAAATATTTACTAAGCTGTCACAGGACAAATGGCCGACCTTGGACCCACTTTACGGCCTTGCTGGTGGATCCATCGGTCGGACCGTATATCCTGCCGACCGGTGGGCCCAGCGGGTGCCCCACTTGTCCCCACCTGTTAGCAGGCTATAAGACAGCCGCTGCCAGACGTAGCTCCTAGCTCCTAGATAGTCAACCAATCTATTACCTATCAGACCGTGTCACTTCTTAGGTATTTACTAAGTGCTTATTCTATATATAAATAAGCGCTTACTCTTTATCTTATCTTATGCTTATAGTTATATAACTTATACTATAGTTCTTTTGTTTTAAAGAGTTATCTATTTGTTTCTTATTTCTTATTGTAAGATATTTAGCTATGGGCACTTAACTAGGTAGGGCTCGATGGTAGGTATTGGTGTATTGTAAGACTTAAGCTTGCAGAGCCCCCTATCTTGTTGGGCCTCTGCTGTGATAACTCTGCAGTGGGGTGGGGTCGCCGGAGCCTCGGCGACCAATCGCCAAGACCCACAACTGCTGTCATGAATCCTTTTACACTTATATATATAAATACTACTACTGCTTATTATCTACCTATTAGGTAGGGTAATATAGCCTTATAACTTGTTAGGTTATAACAAGAGGGGTACTAAAGTAAGGCTAAGACTAAATAAACTAGTTACTAAAAAGATATAAAAAGGGGAAAACTATATAGAACTTAAGGGTTAAAAGAAGTAAATAAGAATAATTATTATAATTGAACCCTAACTATACTAATTATTAACTTCTTTACTTAATACTATCCTAGTCTCTAACACTATTATTATTATCCTATCTTATTTCTAAACTGTAGCTTGTAGTTCCTATCCTTAATCATGATTATAGAGGGACTGCGGCGGTATTGCTTGAATCTAGTCTGTCGCTTTATAATTTAATGACTTTGTCCCTATTATACCCTGTGGCTTGTGCGAAGTAGTAACCTCGTTGGTTTGCAACTAGTCTCAAAGGCTCGGCGTGACCTTCTCGCTCCACTTCGAAGTCGCAATTGTAGTGCGTGTGACCAAATGCCCATATCTTGACGTTGCTGCTGTTGTAGCATACTTCCCCGGACAAATCTGTCGCAAAGCCACTGGTAATTAGGCTTTGCGCATGCCTTGGGTCAATAGCGCGGCCGTCTCTTGAAGGGCTCCAGTGCGAAAAAATGATGATATCGGCATCAGAATGGCCGAGTTCTGTAACCTGAGCATTGAGCCATGCAAGGTCTCGAGTGTGTGCCTCGTTATGCATGCCAACATCCCAGTCGTTTATCTGGAAAAAATCGTTGAGTCCCATGCTGACCGAACCTGCACTTTGTGGCGGGATGAAGGAGAATAAGCTGCAGCCTAAGATGACGACCTTGGAGTCTGGAACCCTGAAGCTCGAGCGGTCGAGTAGGACAAATTCTCCCAAAGAGGCATCGCCTTTTGTTCTTTCTTCGAAATCGCGAAGTATCTCAAGTGTTTCAGACCAGCTGGAGTGGTAGGCCTCATGGTTTCCAGGCACAAATAGTACAGCGCGAAACTGACGGAGCTGCTGCGCCAGGAAGCTAAGACAATTATCTTTGTGAGTTGCAATATTGCCTATATCGCCGAGGAGCCCTAAGTAAGGTGCTCGGGGTGTAATTTCGAAGATGTCGTAGGCTTTCGGGGCCTCTAGGTGCAAGTCAGAGACGATTTGGATAGCCATGGTGATGGGAAGTTGTGTTGCTGACTAACTTTCTAGCCGGCAATTTGTTGGTTAGATTACAGTTTGTTGTTGTTAAATGTGGCGAAAATACACGTGAATTCACTGGCGAATGTACGGTTGCCCTATGGCGAATCGCTGGGGAATAGGCGGTAAAATCGCCCCACTTTAATAGTGATTTCACTAATAATATCGCCAGGATTAGCCTAGGATTTCCTAACTAGGAAATAGGGGGATTTCCCTATTCTTATAGAATTTTACTGTAAATAGTTATGTATAATATAATTAATTAACTATTATAATCCTTATAATTTAATAGTTATATTAATATAGTCTAAAACCTCTTACTTAGCCTATATATAGAAATTACCTCTTTTCTAAATACTAGAATTTCTAGAAAAACAAATAGTAAAAAGAATAAAATAGCTATAAATCTATAGTTATTTAGTTAAATAGTCTCTCTCTCTCTCTCTCTCTCTCTCTATATATATATATATATAGTAAGTTATATATTATAATAAGTTATATATTTTTATACTATTTTCTACTTTTTTTATATACTAATTTAACTATATTATATAAAATTAAAATAAAACTATATACTATCTTATTCTTTATTACTATTTTAAACTACTTTATAGGTTTATATATTATATTTAGTCTTCTTATAATTACTATATTATTATATATATAGTTTACTATCTGTTATAGAAGCCTTTTTTTTAAGACGTTTTCTTACTTCTAGATATTATATAATATAACTATATATATATTATTCTTACTACTTATATTAATTATAGTTAACTAGTTAAAATATATAATTAATTAAATAAGATATTAAGTTTTTAACTAAAGTTAGTCTTTTTTATATTTAGTTAAAATAACTATATATAGAATTATTATAAAAAAAATTTAATTTCTTATTATTTTTATTTATTTTTACTTACTTATTAAGTATACTTAAGTATACTTAAGTAAGTATTTAACCTTGGCAAGTATACTTAAGTAAGTATTTGACCTTGAAATACTTACTTAAGTATACTTATTCCTAACCCTGCTGCTAACGCAACAGACTGTACTTCCAGCAGAGCACAGTGCTTAACCAAGGCAATACTTAATTGACACTACCCTGCCACTTTTGCGGCATCAGGTTGCTTGCTGCCACAACAAGTGTCCGTCCTCCTTCATCCACTTGCTTCATACGTAAAACAAAGATACAAGGGGTCAAAATCTCACCTCTCCCTGTTATCACATTTTCCGAGCAACATGAACCCCCAAGACTCCTATGTGTCGACCCTTTGCTCGAAGAAATGCAACAGCCAACGCTACCATAGTTGCATACGGGGCAATGAACACTGTTGCTTAATTGCGGGGAACACCAATCAAAGACTTAAATATATCCTTTGTGACAACATGCTACTCCATCAAAGAGACTCAAAGACATCTAAGAAGCTGATTTCCAATACATGGTTATGCTCACTATTTACTTCTGTAACGCCAATAAGAAGGACTTTTAGCGTTCTGACGCCCGTACAAGCGGCAATCTCCGCAAATGCCCCCTTGCCCCTTTGGGCCTTATCGCAGGGCAGCCGACGAAATATTTTCCCCTCGTCAGGGGGAACAGACCTTCATCACCAAAAGTGCTAACTGACAAACAACAGTTCCCCATCATGTTTGCGATTCGTCAAGCGGCCGGTAAGGGCCTCGGTGTGTTTGCATCAAAGCCCATTCCCAGAGGCCAAAGGATTCTCACCGACCAGGCTCTACTCACCATCTCATCATCAGACAGCGGCTCTATCCTTCAAAATGCTCACCTTCTCTCAACAGCTGGCCAGAAATCACTCCTATCGCTGTCAACCAACCCCAGCAAATCAAGTGTTTTTAGCTGGCTAGAATCCATATGGCGAAGCAAGTCTGCTCTGCGAAAGACAGTCTCCAATCACACAATCCTCAACATCTTCCGCAACAACAATTTCAACATCGGCAACCAGATTCAAGCCCTCTTCCCTCAGGTCGCGCGACTCAACCACTCATGTGTGCCCAACTCGCAGGGGAACTTCAACCAGACACTGAATGCGTTTACCATCCACGCGACTAGGGACATCGGCAAGGACGAGGAGATCACCATCTCGTACCTCGACGAGCACTTAGGCTTGCGGGATTCGCGGCAGAGCGCACTGCAAGACGGGTACGGCTTCGTCTGCGACTGCTCCGCCTGCAACCCCGCCAGCTTCAAGGCCGGCGAGGCGCGGAGGACGGAAATCAAGGGCCGACTGGAGCGCTTCGCCGAGGCCGCTTCGGAGGACCCGAATGACGAGTTCGAGATGATGTTGACGCTCTTGGACGCTTACGAAGCGGAGGCGATCCGCGGCCGAGAAGTGTCTACCATGTACATCGCGGCCGCGCGTAAGGCGTTTGGCCTAGAGAAACCGGAGAAGGGACGGGAGTTGGCGTTGACCGGCCTGCGTCTGGAAAAAGAAGCTGTTGGAAAAGACAGTCCATTTTACACGGCGACAAGGAGCGAGGTATTGGCGCTGGGCGTTGAGGCCTAGAAAGCTGTTCGTGGGCTTTGGCCATAGAAAGGGGCGAGCCCAGGCACAAAATGATTATATGTTTCAAGCGAGGACTTGCTTTCTGTTGTGATCTTGACTTCGTCTCTTGGTTATTATCTTGATAAGATTTTCCGTCGGTACGCTTTGCATATACAGCTGATCCAACAAACCCAATGATTAACACTCCTTCCAAGCGCCTAACGCCCTACATTACCTGTAACTATTGAAATTCAGGCAACTACTGACATCTGGGAACGCGGCCGCACATTCAGTGTGGCAACGCAACGAAGTAGGCGATAGAGCTACACGTCACACACACACACACACACACACAATTGGACAAGTATAATCGCGACGGAATATGTAATTCAACAGAAGCAGAACATTTGAGTTGTCAAACAATACGAAGCAGCAAAGAATTACTGGACACCCACACGGGCGTTACGGACGGAGTTTAACCACCAGAGTCCGGGTTTATCTGAGATGTAAAAATAGGGACGGAGTCCGCCCACACTCCGTGGCGTTTGACGTTCACTTCACTTGCTTTTTTCCCCCAGTGGCTTCCTTATGGTCGAGCATTTTCAATAAGCAAAATCGAATGACTCGGACAATCTCACCTTGCTACCATCTGATCCAAAGAGTCCGAGCTCGACTCAAATTAACGGTGGCCTGGTCCGACTTTGTACTTATGTCAATGGCTTTCAGGAGAGGGGCAACAGAGTCTCACGGAAGTCATACATGTAGCAGCTTGGAGGCGCCACAAGAACATCGATGAATGAGAACAACAAGAATAAATGAAGTCTTCTGAATCCTATGGATTGGAGAGTCGAGGTTTCAGCATGCCGACTACTTGGTATATCTCTGCGGCTTTCTTAACAACGACGCTTCGCCCTTGTTGTAACCTATGGCTAGCAGATTCTCCTTTTGCCTCGTAATAGGCGCCAACTTCAGTGCTGTCTTGAAAAAGCAAAGATGTGTGTTAAATAGAATTGCTTGTGCTCTGCTCCACTATAATACACCTCAGGTCAACTTAGCACAAGACTTGACTTAAAACCTGCAACCAAGAACTGGCTTCAAGAGAAGCGTCCTCATTAATTAATTCACATCATTATACAAATGCGTAATGATTTGAACGTAGTCATGGTATATATTAGGATTAAATCGTCTTGAGAAAACATTTTATCGATACCTTCTGGGAATTCACAACATCAGATAACTGACAGTGTTTCAGTGGAGACAACATCCGATGTGTATGCAAAAGCATGTTGCTTAGTTCATGAATTTAAGTTGGTGTTGATTCTGAACGGATGAACTGCGTTCTATAATTACCTACTATAAACTATGCACTCGCAACCCCAAGGTACTCTGTGGGTTGCTAATTGTCCAAGGAGTCTGTCCTCTGAACTCCAAACTCCAGCTGAATCTGATTGGTTATCTCCCAGCCCAACACCTCCCTAGATCATAAATATTGCCAAACCAAAATCCCAACTCATTATGCTCAGGGGAAACGCCTCTGTCCAGCCAAGAGACTCTATTGCATTCGATTAGGTTTGGCTGAGCGTCAGCATTTCTTGGGCGTTCTTGTGTGTGGGCCCAGCCGCGCCTTCAGACTAATGCCCAAGACAAGGCCAAGATCAACACGAGTGCCGAGACTGTCGTGTCAGGAACGCCGAGTACCTTGGCGCCCGAGTTGGCGCCTGCCGCATTGCAAAAATTCTTCGAAAGCTTTCCTTCAGGGTCAGGCCAGGTCCCACGCGGGCAGTTGGCGCGGTCAAGCATGGCCTCGCTGACTTTGTTCGCCAGAGCCTCGTCCATCTTCAGACCGCACGCTTGCGAAGGCGGCGATTTTTGGGAGACCACGGGGCAGATGGAGCCCCAATGTTGTCGAGCATCAGTGACTTCAAAGCTTCCGACGAAAGCCGGGCAGTCTTCCGGGTCGGCGATGGAAGGGATTTGTCCGGCGTCGGGGTCGGTCATGAACAACACTTCTCCGTCGTACGATACACCTCGCGGTTTCGAATCCACGCCCGCGCTCGTAACGTTAAGGGGACAGCCAGAAAACATCGTCGTTGTGTACTTCAGCTTGAACTGTCGTTGTGTTGCGTTGACCAAATTCCTACGGGAGGCATCAATGACCGTGAGGGTGCTGTCGGTGGTTGCATTCTTTCCCGTCTTCCACACGCCGGATGTGAACAGTAACGAGGTATCCGAACTGTTGATGTCGGTGTAGCCCGTGAGTTCCCACTTAACCCAGAAGGTAAAAAACTCGTCGTCAGATTGCCAGAGCTGCGAGGCATTGCGAACGGCAAAAACAATGGGAAATGGCCACACAGGCTTATACACGGTGTCGTTTCGAGGGAAGATAAGATCGACTTCGATGCTCGAAGGGAGGGCAAAGCTGAAGCCCGCGAGATGCAAGAGCATCAACAACCGGAACATGTAGCTCATCTTGAAAGACTAGGTGGATGATGTGAGCGAGTGCGAAGGCAAGACTGAAGGGCGGGCACGAAGAGGACATTTAAACCAATGTCGTTCGCCAAGTGGATTTAGATCGCTGAAGACCCTTCGCTGCCAACAGAGACGATCCTAATCTGAGCAGGATCCTACCGGGTCGGCCGCACAAAATGCAAGGGTCTGACTTCAAAGAAAGAGTGGTACGGAGTACGGATACAGTGACATGCAATAAGTCTGGGCTCACCACACTATTCAAGGTGGCACATTGTGTGGTGAGCCCAGACTTATTACATGTCACTCTAGTCTTGAGTGCACATCCAACTATAGAAAATAGTCTTAGTGAGACCCCAGTCCGGAAATTTTAAAATGCGGAGAGACACGGGCTATTGAACTCGTTGTTGAAATCAGGGTGAAAATCCGGCATTCAAATGGCACCATTCAATGAAATGTGCTTCCTTAGCTTCGGTTACCTGCTCGAGCTTCAAGCTCGGGCACGATATCAATCAAGTTGGTCGGGCGTACCTCGTAATTAGTGGCGCCTCTCATCTCAGTCAGTTTACAGGGGGTCACACTCCATACCGAGTCAGCGTGTCAGTGTCCCTTGTAAACTAGCAGCGAGCAGCCATGGTCGTCCTACCCTTGATGGTTCGTCTCGACATCTCACATCCTCCTCCTCTTCCTGCATCAAACCCTTCAAACCCCACTCTACAAGCTACGCACAGAGCAAGTTAGAGCTGACATGACTGCTTCACAGAGCCCTACAGGCAGCAGGCTAAGTATTTCCATCTTAGGCAGCATGATTTTATAAGGATTGCCAGCGAATGTGGGGATGATGAAGGATCCAGAAGCTGAAGCGATTTAAGGCAGAAGACGAATTTATCACACGAAAAGAAACCAGGGTAATTGACGCGGCTTTGGATTCATCCTATCGCAGAAAAGATGGTACCGTTTAACCTACGGCTAACGATGCATTATTTATAACGCCGATGGCCAGAGAAACCAAGGATATTTCTCCGTTGGATCCACCGGATCCACCGGTATATTGCCCGGCGATTTCGCCGGCAATCCCACGATAGTTTCTCTTCTCTTCACGCATAATACAGAACCACCCGTTACCCCAATTATTCGTCAATTGCCTATTGATACGTACGGTTAACCGTATCACCATCCTGGTGATAACCAACAGTAACGTTTAATTTACGGCTAACGATGCATTATTCATAACTTTCACCTAAGCACTCGACCAAGTTGAAGAGTAGAGTGGTTGCAGTGCTGTAGGACTTCGTCTGCGCTAGCATTGTTGCAAGATCCAGCGACTTGCGCTTACAAGCTGCACGATGGAGGCACAGGAGCCAGCCATGTCAGCGTATACAAGAAGAAGAAAGCTCAACACCACATACAAAACACAGCGCTGCTAACTACATGTGTTGCGTTAAACACACAACTTTTGGCTAAAACAAAGTATTCTAGCAGGTCAATGGGGTCATAGGCACTCGGGTGACAAAAAATAGAACATGGTTTTCTGTTTTGGAGGTGGTGGCCTGGCCTGTTCTCTTTTTTGTCACCCGAGTGATAGGGTGGCTGCCGAGTGTCAAGGAGTGTCTTACTACAGGATTTTTGCGGTCGCTGGTAAATTAACAGTCCCCTTTTGGTATTTTGACAGCCCTCTAGCCACTACTACCACCTGAATAACACATTCCATCACCCTAATATCTGACTAACCTAAATCCTAGCCTAGACCCTAACCATTAACCTTATGCATCTTTTATATACTTTTAAAGATGCATAAGGTTAGTAGTTAGGATACCGGATACACTGGTTAAATCCGCCTTTAGCTCCTGCATAAGCTAACGGCAAGGGGTATCGCGGTCGCTGTGATAGGTATAGTGTGCTGGCAGAAAGCAGGGGTTAGTCATGTACGTCAGCAGCAAGTTAGGTAGCAAGGGCCAGCAAAGATAGGAAGATAGGCTAGATAGGTAGGTTGACCGCTTTCTAAATAGGCTTAGCGCGATGGGCGGCCACTTTGCCCCTTACCGTTAGCTCGTGCAGTAGCTAAAGGCGGATTTAACCAGTGTAGACGGTAGTTAGGGTCTAGGTTAAGGTCTAGGTTAGTTAGTTATATGTACGTAATAGAACAAACATAATCTTTCTGCTGATACTAACTAGAATAGACAGCAGACTTCCGTATATAGGCTTAGAGGGCTGTCAAGATGCTAGAAGGTGGCAGTCATTTTACTGGCTACTATTTTTATGGCGTCTAGTGGGCTTTAACGGTCTCAATTGCGGCCACCGCATGCATATTGTGTAAGGAGCAGCAGAGGTACATAACGATGTCCCAATCTTTTGCACCTCGACAGTGACCGTAACATCAGCGCTCCCCGCCCCGCCTAGTTGAGGTTCTGCGGAAACTTTATCCAAGCTAGGGTCATTAAACGAGACGTCTTGCGGACGCTGGTAGGTAACAGTGTGCTTGAGCTTGGCAGTGTCGGGCTAATACACATCGTTCTAGGGGGTCTAGACCGGACCCATCCAGGCCATGGATATGCCTATGGACCGGCTGATCAATTTGACCAATGATGACACAGCGCTGCTGTCAGCCGTTCCGGACCAGACAAGAATAGATTCTGGGTTATTAGTACGGCAGCTATATAGAAAACAGAAAGATAAAAGAAGGCCGACTTGACCAAAGTACCTATGCCAAGAAGCTGTTGTGGGGAGGCGTCGGCCTGTAGCTGCCGGGTTAGCAGAAGCTGCCGCGCGACTTCTAACAAACCTGAGGTCCACAACCACTACATCTGACAATTCATTTTCACTAAGGGCGGATGGCTAAGATAAATAGCATATAACTGTTCTTACTACCTAGTATGGCCTTAAGAGTAAGCCAAATGTTCCCTAGTTAACATGAACAGGGTACATCTTTTGGTGCATGTATGTGGGAGTAAAAGTGTACCTAGCCAAGGGCATATTCGGTCTGGAACAATGTCAACAGAAACACGTATGATTTTTCTTGACAGAAAGGTACTTAGTGTGGGGTCGGCGGCATACCCGGAGTCGCAGTCGTCCTTAAGGGCAATATTAATACAGAATAGACTAGGGTCTACGGTTGTGTCAGGTTTGTGTCAACTACAGTATGTCGAGTCAAGTACCAGCGTTTTTAGATACAACGTTAATCACTGCTGCATCAGGGGATCTTTTAGAAAAAAGATTTAAGGCACGCGACTTCGTCTCATCTTTTGAGTCTTTAAAACATCAGCTCATCATACACACACATATATATACTCACTTATCTTCAGCATTTACCTAGCACCTTCCACGTTCTTATTCATATTTCAGACCTTCGCAAGTCGGAGACCGAGTCCTTAATTAATCAATACACCGCCACAACTACATCCTTGCACCATGCAGTTCTCCGCTATCATTGTCGCCCTCTTTGCAGGCATCGCCCTTGCTGCTCCTGCGCTTGAAGCGCGCCAGGATAGTACAGAGGTGGGTGAATTATCAAACCTGGCTTGAGACGGGCACGCTGGCTAACACTTTGACGTAGTGCACCCTATGCCGTAATGACTGCTTCTTCAGCAAAACAGACAATGCCGCCTTCCAGTCGTGCATTCAGTCATGCAACTCCGGCCTCGGATGCAACATCACGCAATGATTTTTATAATCTGGTTTACAAGCTTCATGATAGTAACTGCTGGACAGAAAGACATATTTATTAGTTAAGCTAGTATGGGATACCCATGCCAATGTCTATATATGTGTATACGAATTGGGGCCGAGTTGCTATTCTGTCGATATCATCTCGCCTGTTTCCATCAACAACCTCCCTGTCCATTATGCCGTGGATGTAAGCTTTTCTAACAATCAACGCTTCACGTGATTCCAGGACACCAAAGGTGCTGTGGAATCGTGTAAGTCAAACTACCTACTTTCTACCCCCCCCCCCCCCCCTGCATTCCGCCGATCTTTTCCTACTAAAAACAGCTAAAACTAGCTATTTATATCTAAAAGCTTATATAGATATTAAAATCTACAGAGGTGCATTTTAAAAGACTATACTAGAAATACTAAGACTACTCTATGTTAGTTAACAAGGGTAATTATAGGAGTAGCTACTAAAATAAATTACTACTAACATTTTAATAATGCCTACCTAGAACTTCTAAGTAATATCTACTAGTTTAACGCCCCTCTTTATATTTATTACTACTATTAAGAGTAATAATAGTCTTAATATAAACTAGTAGCCTCTTTCTTTAGGCCTAGATTTACTCTTAAGGTAAGGCCTACTAGTATTATTACTATACTTTTTTAGCTATAGCCTAGTTAACTAAAGTACTTTTTTTATTATAAATTACTTTATTTAAGGCTAGTAAGGCTAAATAAGGTTAAGATTAAGACTGTTATTATACTAGTAAAGCTTTTTAATATAATAAGTAGTATATATTTAGTATATAAAGAAGTAATTATAAGAAAGTACTTTATTTTTTTTTAAATAATAATACTTAGTAAGTACTTTTTAAGTATAAATAAAAAGATCTTTAGTAAAAAATCTTTTTTTAGTATTAGTACTAGTTAATTTTTTTAAACTAACGTATTAGTATACTTATACTAATAAAAAGTTAGTTTATAACTAAAAAGCTACTAAAGCTAAAGCCTATTTATTTTATTTAACTTTTATTTAAGATATTTAACTAGCTTTAGCTTAGTACTTATTTTTATAACCTTAATATTAGTAGTCTACTATATTACTACTAACTTAAGTAACTAGTAGTAAAAAAAGCCTTTTTAATTATATGTAAAGTAGCTTTAAAATATAAACTTAAGATATTTTTTTATTAAGTATAAATATATAAGTTTATATAAGTCTTATATACTTATTACTATAAATAGTAGCTACTATAGTAATAGCTTAAGATTACTAAGGTCTTATTAAACTAAATAACCTTCTTTAAATTTTTAAGTAACTAGTAGTAATATACTAGTAGTAATATACTAACTCCCCTACCCTACTATTATAGCTAGTTTCTAAATAGTAAGGTTTCTACTAAAAGTAAGTAGAGGTTAGTACTTAGTTAATAGTATTTATTATTCTTATTATCTTATTAATTACCTAGTAATTAGTTAAGGTTAAGGTTATAAGGTAGCTTATATAGTGTAAAAGGATTTATAACAGCAGTTATAGGTCTTAGTAATTAGTTACTAAGGCTCTAGTAACCCCACCCTACTATAGAGTTATTACAGTAGAGGCCTAATAAGATAAGGGGCTCTATAAGCTTAAGTCTTATAATACACTAATACCTACTATTAAGCCCTACCTAGTTAAGTGCCCTTAGCTAAATATCTTATAATTCTTAAGCTTCTATCTCTCTTAAGAAACTAGTACAGATAAGATAGATTAGAACAATACTAAACAGACTAACCTTTTACTAATATATTACTAACGTGCAGCTAGTATAGATAAGCTATAGCTATTTAGAATTAAGTACCTAATAGGCCTAACTATAGCTATTAATTAAAGTATACTACTAGAATAGTCTATATAATAATTTAATAAAGAAATAATATAAGGAAAAATACTATTAAGAAGGTTTAACACGCTAGATTCCTATATAGCTACTAATAAGGCTAATAAGGCTAATAAGGCTTTTATTACTAAGTAGTTATATAGTAGGTAAAGTATAAGTATATACTAAAGTGCTAGTATAACTATACTAGGCCTAGGGATTATTAACCTTATATAAGTAATAATATTATACTTCTAAGAAACTATAAAGACTATAGTTAAGGAGTATTATAAGGAGTAAAGGCACTATAAGCGCCTTTTATAAGAGCTTACTAATAGACTAGTGTAGCGTCCTAATAAAAAGGAATATAAGAAGCCCCTATTCTATAACTATATAACTATAAGGGAAGAATTTATAAGCGCCTAAGTAGCTAATTAGATTATTACTATAAAGATAAGAAATAGGCTTTACTTAAGAAGCACTATTAAGTAATATATTAAATAGGCCCTCTTAAGGGTGTCTCTAACCTTATAGATATAGTAGTATAACTATAAAAAAGGCCTACTAAAGCCCCTAAAGTAAAGTAATTTCTTAGTGTTTATTTACTAATAGTATATTAACCTAAAGACTTAAGAATAGGACTACTAGTAAGAGCTAAAAAAAAATAAGAATATATAATAGCTAAAGCCTAATATAATACCTTACTAACTAGTTAGTAATATATTATAACTTAGGCACTAAAGATATTAAGGACTTAAAAACTAAGGTATACTACTACTTTTTTAGCCTACTAATTCTATTATAAGATAAAATAGTATAATAAAAGGTGCTTATCTTTTAACCTAAAGATATTACCTATAAGGCTAGATAGCTATAGTTACTTAAGGAGTAATAGCCTACTAAAAGATTAATAAAGGATAGTAAGAAGCGCCTTATACCTAAAGGTAAATAGCTATAAAGACCTATACTATATAAAAGGGATTAAGGTAAGGATATACCTAAAGGATTAAGGCTAATAAAGTAAGTATATAAACTAGTAAGAGGTAAAAAACATAACACTTAGCTACTAAAAGGTTAGCTAGAGGTAGGCTAGTGTTATATTTATAATAAGCTAAAGCACCTTATAAGTAAATACTATAAGAAAAAACCTAATAAGGAGAGTAATAGTAAGCTATTTACTTACTAACTAAATAAGGAAACTACTACTATATAAAATATTATTATAAGGCCTAAGGTTTATAAACTTAACTTATTAAAAAATAAGTAGGTATAGGTGTTACACCCTAAACACTTACGCCTAAACTAATAAAGGTACCTATAAGAACTACTACTATAGCTATAGTAATTATCCTATAAGGGGACACTAAGGAAGTTATTAAAGTAGTAATAAATATATACTTAGAAGTAAACCTTATTAGCACTAAATTAGTAAAACACCTAGGCCTAAAGCCTATAAAGGCTAAGGCCCTAACCCTTAAGTTGTTTATAGGTAAAAAGGTAAGATAAAAAAAGGCCTATTAGCTAACTTTCTTCTTAATTAACTACTATAAGTAGCTATAAAAGGTTTACTAACTAGTTATTAAGATAAAATAAGAGAAAAAATAACCTAATATTTTTATATTTAAATAGTCTATAGGCTAAGAAGGTATCTAGATAAATATAGCTATAAATTAATAGTATTATAAGGTAATATTTATTATAAAGCTAAAGTTAATTACTTATAATATTATTAAAAATAATAAATATATATATATATTATATATCTTATATAAAGTAAGTAAACTAATAAAGCTAAAACTACTAAACATACTCCTAAAGGAGTTATAAAGTAAAGTAGCTACTTTTAATAAGTAATTAGTAATAGGACTATAAGTATATAGTAAGGCTAAACACTTAATTAATCTTATACTAAGGAAGAAGCCTTTATATAGCCTAATCTACCTACTAAATAAGAAATAACTAAAGGAATTACACTAATATATTACTAAGAACTTAGTAAACAGGCGTATTACTAGGTCTATTAGTAAGGCTAGAGCACCTATACTTTTTATACTAAAAAAAGACAGTATAATATAACTTTATATAAATTACTAAGGCCTTAATAAAGTTATAATAAAGAATTATTATTTATTACTATTAATTAGTAAGCTACTAAATAGGCTTTATAAGGTAAAATAAATATTAAAAATAAATATTTAAGATACTTACTATTATATTAATATTAAAAAAGAAGACTACTAGAAAATAGCGTTTAAGACATAATATAGTTATTTTAAATATATAGTTATACTATTTAGGCTAACTAACGCACCTATAATATTTTAAGCGTTTATTTACTAAGCGCTTAGTAAGCTACTTAACACCTATTATATAGTATATATAAATAATTTAATAATTTACTTTATAATAAAGAAGTAGTATACTAAAGATCTTAAAAAGGTCCTTTAGAGGCTATAGATATTTAGATTATTTATAAAACTATTAAAGTGCTTATTTTACTAGTAAAAGGTTAAATTCCTAAGGTATATAATTACACTAAAAGGGATTAAAATAAATAAATTATATATATAAATAATTACTAACTAAAAGGCACTAATATTAATAAAAGATATCTAGGTCTTCTTAAGGTTTTATAATTTTTACTAAAAATTTATCTTAAAGTATTTTAGTATTACTATACTTATAATAGCACTATTAAAAGGCTATATAAATATAAGATATAAGTTTAAATAGACTAAGAAAGCTAATAAAGCTTTTAATTAGCTAAAAGTTACTTTCTTATTAGTAACTATACTTATACACTAGAACCCCTAATATATAATATATATAAAAACAGACGTATTAGTTAAAGCTATTATAGCTATACTATTATAGTAAGTAAAAAGATAATAGTAACTAGTTACCTACTAGTTATAAAAGCTTACTAATATAAAGTAGTAATAGGCTATAAGGCAGTAAGAGCTATTAGCTATTATTAAGAGATTAAAGTATTAGTCTTATTACCTTTAAGGGCTATTAAAGAAGTTTATTATCCTAATAGACTATTAGGCGTTAAAAGGCGTTATTAGTACACCTATATAGGACCTTTATAAAAGGCTTACTTAGTAGGTATATAAGTTATTAGTATTTAACTTTAACCTAAAGTATA